TAGCATATCGTTGGTGGGACGTGACTCGACTCAACGGTGATGCGAGCAGACTCGACGTGACGCGGGGCCGCGTGCAAATGCGACAAGGGTAGACGCGGTCATGATGGGCCAATCCAGGTCATTTATGGGTTTAGTGTTCAACCTGAACCTGACTCAATTTTTTAAACGGGTCAATTTGTTGAACCCAAATCATACCCATTTCTCAGATGGGTCGACCTTAACGCAAAAAATTTCTGAATGAGTTTTCGGGTCGTGTCAAATATTGACATGCATGCATACATGACTTCTTAAAGTTTGACATAAAATTGATTTATTTATTTATAGAACATGAATAATTACTTATGAATGTGACATTTATTCACCAAAATATCCAATAAAAAGAAGGAAAAAACGTGAATATGACATCATTTATTTTTAATGAGAAAAAATATTAAAGGTGATTTATATATCACAATTTTTATATTAAATATTGGAGTAAATAATTACGTATTTATTGAGTGCTCTATTTTTTTAATATGTCGAGACTACATAATTTATTTTTAAGGTGCATTAAAAATTAAAATACACATAAAATACATTATCATATAGTCAACAAAAATAATGCCCAAAATTTTCTATATAAATTAAAAAATTTAGATCATAATTAATCTATGAATTTTAGCTCTTCATTTTTCTCATTAGGGCTTTGTGCCCGTGATAACGAACAATTATTACGTCCTCCGACTGGACGTAGAGGAACGTCCGATCGGAGGCTAAATCGTGCCAAAAAACCATAAATACCGAGCAATACCAAACAATAACGAGGAATACCATCACGTGAAGACCCAATACCGAGTTATACCGTGCTATACCGAGCAATACCGAGTTATACAAAAGTTGTACCGAGTTTCTCCTAGAAAAAACTCGGTACAACTCGGTATTGCTCGGTATAGCTTGGTATAACTCGGTATTGGTCTTCAAAGAACAGTATTCCTAGCAATACCGAGCAAATACCAAATTTTTTTGCAGGATTTTGCCTGCGACCGGACGTTCCTCTACGTCCTTACACCAGATCTAATAAAAGTTCCGTGATAACAGTAGTGTTACATTATGGAATATTCAATTTAATTTAAAATATTTAAAATTTTAAAATTAGGAAATTATGGGTTTAAAAAAACATGCCTTGGCCTACAAGCAAGGACACGCATGGCCCATCATACTTAAAAAATAATTAAAAAAATATATAAATATAAAAATACAAAAAGGACACGCATCATACGGCCCAAGAGTTTGAATTGAAATACACCACGTGGAAAACGGCCTGTTTGACAAAAGATTTGAATGGAGATAGATATGGTCAAAGGTAAAAAAGACGGTCGTAGCCTTAAATTAGCTCCTAATGTGATATATTCGAGTATAAGCTCGTCAAAATCGGAGTCCGTTTGGTTACTCAAATTGTGGTTTGAACCTTCCAACAGCGCTTCGGACCCATGATTTGGACCCATTTGGGCTCGGATTGGGTTGATCTTGGTGTCGTTGGGTTCGTATTTCCGAGACGCTCAGTTTGACTGTAAGCTCGCTGAAAACGGAGTTCGAGTGCTCCCAGAATTATTTTTGAAGTTTCCAACTAGCTTTTGCCTCGAGATTCGTGCCCGATCAAGCTAATTTTGCATGACTTATCAATACTATTTATATAAATATTAAAATAGTATTTTAGTTATTAAAATATACATAAAAATTATATATTTCAATTCAGATAATATTATTTTATGTTTTATTTTAATGCAATTAAAAGAACTGTTTCTCAGCATCTTTTACACAACTATATTGAACTAGTGTTAATTGGCTTAAATATAAATCAACTGAAAAGTAGTTCAAAAAACCTCTTATATATATACAATAAATTCATCATTTGACTGATTAAAATAAAAAATCAAAATAAATATAATACCACATGAACTGTCTTTAACTTTAGGCTGAACTGTCTTTAACTTTAGGCTTCAAAGACTAGAGTAATTATTATGTGCGGAAACTGGATGCATAACATTGTTCAAAGACTAATCAAAATATGCCACATCAACAATACCGAGCTGTCATACCGAACAAAGGTGATGTGACACATTCTGACTGATCTCCGGACGACATTCAACATCCGCACAGACTAATTAATCTCGTTTAAGACTTTTACTTCTGTTTTCTAAAACTATTATTTTAATACAAATTTTTTAAACTAGAAATTTTAATACTTTTTAAGTAATAAAAAAACGGTCTCAAAGGTGATGTAGCCTTTGATGGGATAATTTTTCAACTATTTTTAAAAATAATTTTTTTAGTAAAAATTTCTAATTTCATAATTTTTTGCATTTAAAATTATTTTAAAAAATAATAAAAAAAGGTCTCAAGGAAGTCTTCAGCTTTAAAAACCGTATTAAAATGGTATACAATTGAAGCCCATTGAACAGCCGAGCTGCTTGCTGCAGCAAATGCTGGGAGAGGCACGCTGGATGAACCAAAAAAATATAAAAATAACCCAATTCCCATCGTAACTCAGTGTAAAAAGCAACTAGTCACACTCGCCAACGCCGACCTGTTTGTCTTAGCTGTGAAGTGTGAACCACAACCTTGCTGCCATCAAGAAGACACTGAGCAGCCTCCCCCAACAGACCACCCTTACCATCACTCTCTATCAGGGGAAATTATTGCGTGCGGACACCGATTATAATTCACCCCTAGAGACCAATCAGAATGCGCCATGTCAGCAGTACCAAGCACAATACCGAGCCGCGGTATAGAATAGAGGTGACGTGATGCATTTTGATTGATCTCTAGATGACGTTCAACGTCCGCACAGAATAATTTCCCCTCTATATCAGACCACTGTTAATGCCACCAACAATCGGAGTTTCATTAACAACACAGGTTTGCTATAGCTGCATGACCTTTCGCACCGCCTCCCTCAGCTCAAAGCTCTCCTAGGATTACACACTAAATCCATTATAATTTATCCTTCCTCAACATCTCCGACCCTAATGGTCTTTTCTGGATCAGCTTGACACCATCTCTGTACTGTTGCCTATGTAAATATCACAAACACTTGTAGAAATCGGATGCGAGACATTGGAAGCCCTACAGTTTTCCAGTCTTAAGATTCTTTTCATTCTGCAATGAACAAGCGATTTATCATATTCACTCAAACAATAAGGTATTCAAGGTTGAGGGCATCCCAAATCTCATTTCTTTCAACAGCACGGACCTCAATGCTTTGCTTCAGTATCATGCCATGCATCCTACTTAAGTTGTATTGTTGGAAATTTGAGTAAGGTGTTCTGGCCTTTTTTTCTTTTACCACAAGGACCAATCCAATCACCCACGCACAAGCAGTAAAGCGCACAAGCATGTTCCAATATAGCTCTTTTTTTTTTTAAATGTCGAGTGAAAAGTCCACAATCACATCACTCTGAACTTGAGCTCTCCAGAAAAAGGTTGAATTCCTCAACCATTGGAGAGTTGCGGATACCGGACACAACTTACCTTCCAGAGACGAATCAGGTACAACCAAATCATCCAGTACCAAACAGTACCGAGCTCGGTACCAAGCAATGCCGAGCCGCGGTACCAAGTAGGGGATGAAGAGGCGCATTTTCATTGGGCATTGGGCTCTAGATAGTGTTCGGTGTCCGCACAGAATAATTTACCATGAGGCAATCAGAAGGCCATATATTACACTCTGATTTTTTTGCATTCTATCTTCCACCCAAATACTATTAATATGCACAATGCAAGCCCCAATTATATAACGCGACATGCGCAAATTCACAAGTGGAGCCTTTTTCAGCACTCATGCATTAAACAACATTCAATTGCCACCTTTCCTCGGCTCTCCCTCTTCCAACCACCATTCACCCAGCCCTCAAACACAACCCCTATAAAGAACAACAGAAAGAGGATCCCCAAAAAATGCCTTTCATCTCATCACAATTAGTTAACAATACAATAATGATCTCCCACCACCAGTCTCAGAAGAGATGAAGATAAGAAAGCATGAAATCACAACTAACATCATTGACGTCGTGCTTGTCAATGCCTAGGAAAGAAAAGCTTAACGAGAACCAAAGGAAAGAAATATCACTTATGGGCGCTAAGGGTTAGCAGAGCTATCAGCTTCTACGATGTCCTCCTTCAACCTCAAGCTCATCCTCAACACCCTAACCAGCACAATCATTCAGGTGCAACAGAATTTATTTCAAAGAATAGAGTTTAGGAATATTTATCTCAAACTTAGTGGATGAGAGCAACCACCTCAACCTAATTCCATCATATTTTTGTCCACGAGATCAGAAGACAAAGGCCCGCTGAGAGCATGCATAAATAGCAGAAAATAGTAGTGAGTTTTGACAACACTTTTGAAATTGGAGCCATAAGAGGGAGAATTGTGGAGTTGGGGAAGTGTTAGACCGGTCCAGCCGGTCTGATGGGACCAGCTTACGCAAAACTGGCGGAGAAGGTCCGCCTCCTGTACTCAGGAACGGACCGCCAGTTCACGTGTGAGCTGTTTAGGAAGGTTTCTTAAGGGAGTTTGGAGGGAAATTTCAACGTAGGGGTTGTTTGGAGAATTCCTTTTGAATTGTATGCAATAAATAGTTTGTTTTCCTAGGGTTAGGGCATCTTGAATTTGGCTGAAATTTGATATCTCTTAAATTTAAGTTTTCTTTTGGGCTCTAGCGGCGTCTAGAGATTTGGGAAAGATCGATCCTCCTCTCGAATAGAGGATCAATTGTATGTCGCTATTTTCCATTTCCCTTTCATCAAATAATAAAAATTATCTATTGTTTTTGTGATTTTGTGCGGATTTTTGTGGAGAATTCTCGCTGTTTTCCGAAGATTGATAGAAAACACTTGAGATCTACAAGTGTTTCCTATCAGGAAGAGTGCAAAAAAATTCTCACAAAATGTGGAACCTGCATGGGATTCAAAACTACTTGAGATGGACTAGTAGTGGTGAGCAAGAAGAAGAGAAATAGTTGAAGGATTGAAAAAGTTGCTAACCACGTATAGAACAAGCCAATGTTTGCTAAACGCAAATTATAATAGCAGAGCATTCCACCTCATTAAAATCTGATCGATGAATAAAGAATAAGCCTAGTTGGTTTTCTCAGACCAAATATATTATTAATTTTTACTCTAATATAATAGCATTTCATATGATAAATGTTCTAAAAACTCTATAAAAACATGTAAACAATTGAACGAAATAATTAGGCTGCTAACAGTGAGAGGATGAGTAGGAAGCATTCACCAGGGCTAGAGAGATTTGTGCCAAATTGTTATCAACGGCCTTGCAGAATCAGATCTGATAAAGTATCAAAGTTCCCTGATCCAATGGGGTTCATGTTCCTGGGCCTAAACGCCAATGAAAAGTTCATTTTCAAATTAGACTGCTTTTCAACAAAGATCAAAACTTGAAGCTCGACCAAACCAAGGCAACATATTTTATTAGTAAGAGCTGATTGGAAAAAAAATTGACGAGGATTACAAAACCAGCAATACTTACTATTTGGCAATGCTCCTGCAAACAGAACATACAAAGTTTGCCAAGATGCAACATTAAAAAGCTGGCATAGCTGGTGAGACATTTAAAAATGCCTCAATAAAATCATAATGAATTAATCTTCATTCTCCATTCATTCCACCACATCAGCCACAATTTGTTCGGCAGTTTATCAATGTAACTTCTAGCTTAACTACTTTTCTTGACAATCTTTCAACACCAAATTTATAACTCTTGTTGGTGTATTTTCATCCTTCATTTTATATGTCCAAATCAAGTCTACTTTCCAATGCCCACGATCACTCTGGCATAATCATTATTTAGGCTTCGTTTGGAACAACTTTTTTGCTGCTTTCTAAAATGACTTTCTAATATAAAAATTTCTAATTTACCAAATTTTTTACTAAAAAACTGTTTTAGAAAACAATAAAAAAACTGTTCCAAACGAAGCCTTAATCTCTTACCTATTTTAACAAACTCCCCATACAAATTTCATTTCAAAAAGATGCAAAAAACAGCCAGGTCTCATCAAAGTTATGCATCTTCACAACACATAATTGCATGAACAAAAATTCCAACAAGATTATTAAAGTGATGTAGTGCAGAAGCTTTCATCCAGAACTAGAAAGAATTCTTGACTACTTTTCAACGACCATACAGAATCTGATTTGAAATAGGATAAAATTTACCTGATGCAATAAGATTCTAGTTCTGGGTTATGCTGCCTACAATGTCATTTTTCAACGAAAATCAAAACTTGAAGCTGAACCAATCCAACCCAAAAGAATTTGTAGGCAATGGAATGAATGGCTCATCCGAGCTGATTTGATGAAATATGACTATTACAAAATCAATAAGCTCGTTGAGTGACCTGCAAAAAGAAATTCCAAAACTTGTTTGTCAGATGCTATACTGAGAAGTCAGTTTTGTCAGTGAGATCTTTCACCAGAAATCAAAAGCTGGCCTGATAAAATCTAGAGGCAGTACTTGCGACGTCCGAAATAGAACAGAACTTTTTTTGAAGGAGAGATCGAGACCTCAAGGTGGATTCAATTGCTGTGGTGCTGGGGAAAGAGCTTCCAAAATCGAGGTCAACAACAGAGTGGTGGGATGGAAAATGACAGCTCAAACTAAATGATGTAAAAAAAATCCAAATCACCTTCTTAGATGATTTTCATTGTCAAAAACAGATTTTAATGCCAACTGTTGCTCCCCGCTTAACTTGAAAAACCATTCTTGTATGTGTTTGATGTAGGGAGATTCACTTGAGTCCAGAGTAATCTCTCGATGCTCAGAGATAATATCTTCCAATTCTAAAGGAAGAAGATTTAACATAGCAACAACAGCGGCAACTTGAGTTGGAAAGCTTGCTTTCCTAGCAATGAGGTTGTCTAGCAACTTGATCATCCTACTTCTCAGTCCTGCAATTCCTGCTTGCTCATATCCGCCAGAATTACAACCATGTCTGCCGGACAGAAAAAAAGGAAATCAGCATCTTTGTTAAATGTACTGAGAAACAAAAAACAATAATGGAGTTCATAACAAACATTGGCCACCATAAATTCAAATAAGAGTAAACACATGAAGATATTCATGTTGAATATGAATATGCAACAATATCTTTATCTTATGTGTTTACAGGAGTACTACACATTTTCAACTACTATACTTGACTGATTTCTTATTATTGTTATTCAGCGTTTGGATGTCACTCATAAAACTCATTGCCTGATAAACTTCTAATTTTACACATATGAGAGGCCTGACGTTGAATTGCCTGTACTTTAATTTCAAACTTTTTAGCATTTCACCTCTCATTATAAATATTCTTCATTGACTGAGCCGACATATCTGAGAATGTACAGCAATTTTTATCATTTCCCAACTTTTTGATCAATTAATACAATGCAAAACCTTTCTCAATCGGAATAACTTGTAAATAAATGCAACTGCATGCATCATTGTCGATGCACTTTTTATATAGGTTACTATATTACATCACAATTCTTAATTGAATATAGTCATTATATCACAAAAGCTTCTTAGGCATCCTTTATTGGTAAATCCTTGATGCTTATCCAGATGCCCACTCAGATGCTTCATTTTCTTGTCATGCTTATTTCTATGCAAGTTAGTCCATCTAGATGCATGATCAAGAAATAAGAAGTGCCGCATCCTTTTTAATTTTGAACATTACCATGATATCTAGGAAAACCAAGCTGACTTAGGTGATCTACGTCGTCAGAGGACAGAACGATTCGATACCCTAGATCGAGGTAGGAACAACCCTATCCCTTACACACCGTCTAAACCTCCTTCCATGTATGGGGACGATACTTTTCAAGATGAGGGACCACCTCGTGCCCCATATCGAGCCCCCCAATATGGACATGAACATAACCCCGACCAGGATATTCCACCAATGAAAAATATCAAAGTCGATGCTCCAACTTTTGACGGTTCCCTCGATCCCCAACTTTTCCTAGACTGGATCAAAGGCATGGACAGTTTCTTCAAATGGTACAACATCTCTGAAACTAGAAAAGTCCGGTTTGCTGAAATGAAACTAATAGGCAGGGCTAGTCAATTTGGGTCAAATTTAGAAAGTCTTAGGAAATCCCGTAATGAATATCCCATCACTGATTGGCCTTCAATGAACCACGAGCTCAAGCAGAAGCACTTACCTCCTTTGTACTTCCCTAGGCTCCTAGATAAATGGAATAGGCTAACCTAAGGCAACAAACCGGTAAAGGAATAAATTGCAGCCTTTGACGATTATCTAATTCGCTGCAAGGGGGAAACCTCTACTACCCCTACTCAAATTCTGTCTATGTTCCGTACCGGATTGCACGAGGACCTGCACAACGAACTATTTTCCCGGAACATTACTACCCTAGAAAATGCCTACAGTTTAGTCTTGGACCTTGAGGAAACCCGTCCCCAGCATCCTAGTCGACACCAAGATTCAAGGTGTTCCTACTGACCCTCTAGTGGTTCGGCCCCTCATCACTCCTCTGCACGACCTAACCCTGGAAATACTACCCAACCACCTGGTCCGCCCACATCCCATCCTGACTTGAGAAGCTAGCCTCCCACCCCGGATACTCCTAGGTCCCATCCAGGGACCAAGTGATTTCTATGCCATGGGTATGGGCATATCTCCTCTCAGTATTCTAGTCCCTACAAAGTCACTATTATCGAGGAGATCACTGAAGAAGAGCCTGAGCCCGAGGTTGACCAGATTCACCAAGTTGAAGAGAATGGTGAATTCTTTGAGAATGATGACGACACTGTTGTCGTCCACTATATACAAAAGCTTGACCCCTCTCCCATCTGCGTGGTGGGATGTGCGCTATTACAACTCGTTGCCATTGATGACTGGCACAAGACATCTATCTTCTACACCACAAAACTTAAAGATAAAAATTATAAGGTCATAGTGTATAATGGCAGCTGCACTAATGTTGTCTCCTCCAGTATGGTGTCAAAGTTTAATTTGTATGTCGTTCCTCACCCAAACCCTTATAAGGCAGCCTGGGTCAACTCCATTGCCTTAGAGGTAAAGGAGCGAAGCCTCATACCCATCTCCTTCGCTGACTATAAGGAGAAATTGGTGTGATGTCCTTGTAATGGATGTTGGACAAATCATCTTAGGGCGCCCCTAGCTCTTTGATAATGATGTCCACATCTACGATCGTTCGAACACCTGTGTGTTTGAACATGCAGGCAAGAAGATCAAGCTTCTGCCTACACAGCCTAGGGTTAGGGACAATCCCAAACCTAACCCAATCCAACCCAAGAGGGGCCTGAATCTTGTGACCGCCAAGGTCTTGGATTCTGAGATTGCCCAAGGAGCTACCCTGCACGCCCTAGTTGGCCGTGAGACTCCCACTGAGCCTAATGAAACTATCCCACAGGAGGTCCAACCCATATTGAGTGACTTTGCTGACGTTTTCCCTGATAATCTCCCTGATCAATTACCTCCACTTAGAGCCATTCAGCATGCCATAGACCTCGTCCTTGGAACCTCACTCCCGAACCTGCCCCACTATCGCATGAATCCCATAGAACATATTGAACTTAAGAAGTAGGTGGACGAGCTACTGCAACAGGGATTTATCAAAGAAAGTCTTAGCCCGTGTGTTGTGCTAGCCCTTCTTACACCAAAAAAAGATGGCACTTGTAGGATGTGCATTGAAAGCTGGGTTATCAACAAAATCATTGTCAAATATCATTTTCTATCCCGAGGTTAGACGATATACTTGACATGATGATTGGAGCTACTCTTTTCTCAAAAATTGACCCTAAGAGTGGGTATCACCAGATCCAGATCCGACCCGGTGATGAGTAGAAAACTGCCTTTGAGTAGTATTTAAACATAATTTAGTCTAAATCCCGCCAAATAGAAAAAAATGATAGTTTTAAATCCTACAAAAAATTTAATTCTTTAATTTTTTGTATTTTATTAATTTGATGCTCAATTAATTAATAACTAATTGTGATAGTAATATAGAAATTTTAAAAATTTAAAATTTATAACATGTTAACAAAATAGGACGCACTATTTGCACATTCTTTCATGCGCCATTGACCATGCATGGCGCAAATAACACGCACTATTTTGATGTGTCGCGTCGCGCCAAGCAAATAACGTAGTATGTGTGTTGAGCTGTGTGTCATTACTCGTGCCATTTTGCGCCATTAACATGCATGGGTGATTGGTAGGAGGGGTGGTAGGATTATATAGGGGTGAATTTGGGAAGTTGCAGGCAAGGGGAAGAAGAGGAAAGGCTCGGTAGGCTATTGAAGGGGATTCAATTGGGTTGGGAAAGTACAATTGTTGGAGAGAGTTCAGAGGCCTATTGTGGGTAGAGTTGGGAAGAGTCGAGGCAATGTCATGCAGAGTGGAGTGGGGGATATGCTCAAGCAAGATGGTCGTCAGGTGTTGGGTTGCAGCAAGGGGAAGGTTGGTAGGTGTCATAGGAGCTACTAGAAGCGGGATGTAGGCGGGGAGGTGGGTGTGTATGGCCATGTGATTGAGTAGCTGGGTTAAGCAGAACTTTGGGCAGCAGCTATGGAGGCATGGTGCAGGAGATGTAGGTCAAATAGTCGGAAGGTCGGATGGAGGTAGCGGCTTTGGGTTGGACAAACTAGGGAGGGATTAGATAAGCAGGGGAGTGTTGGGCTGGTGTAGATGAGAGCAAGCGTGAGGTTGCTAGAAGGTTGGTGTGACAGGAAGAGGAGGTTCAGTAGTGGGTTGACTGTGAATATGGAAGGAGGGAGTTGTTGGCATTTGTGAGTAGTAGAGTTTGGGTGTTTAAAAGAGGAAGGCTTCACATGAACAAGAAGTATTCGAATAGAGAAGAATGGAGAGATTGCGTGTGAGGAGTCTCTGCTATGTGTATTAGAAAAGTTTAATTTTATTATTATTATTATTATTATCTCTTCTTTTTTCTACAAGGATATGACCTCTGCTCATCTTTAATATTTATTAATCAAATCCCGTATATTTTCATGAGTAGATCTCGTTTGGGCAATTTTGAGCAACATCACACCTCACAATCGTCGCCTGTCATTGTTTGATCAAGTCATGCGCAAGCAGTACCTCTGTGCATAAATTTTGACGTTCCAGATATAACAGTGAAGTGTGTTTCACAAGCAGACATCGTTTGAGTGATTTTGCAAGACACTGCACCCACCCATCATGCTTATTATTGCTTGATCGAGCCTCACAAGGATAATTCTTCTTTGGTAAATCATTTTCTTTGGTAAATCATTTTCTTGAATATGCTATTGTGATCTATTTTGCAAGTAGATAAATGTTTGAGTGGTTTCGATCACGGTCAAGATGCTTCAAAGCTCATTATGCACGACATTTCGTCTTCCGATCGTCTTTTTCGTCACACTCTCTCGAACTAATTGTGACACATGTATGTAGGTCAACAAGGCTAGGATTAATTTGGAGAAGTGAATAGCTACTCCATATGCAATGACTACTGTATATATACGATTGATTATCACAGCCATGAACACGGATCATATCATTAGCAGTGATGTCCCAGTGTAAAACTCATCAAACCCAAAACAAATATATGAAGTATGAAAAAATGCAAATCATAAGAAACGTTTCTATAAGTTCATTCTCTTTGATAAAAATGGTTCCCAATGAATACTAAAACAAAATACAAAAAAGGAATAAAACAAGATGACAACCAAGCAAAAACAAATAATTTGGTCGTACCCTTCAACAATATGAAAAAGATAACACCATTTAATCTCTGCAAAGATGAAAAACATTCTACTACTACTGCTCTGCTAATCAGCCTGAAAGAAGTAATTTGCCCTATCTAATCCTGAAATATGAAAATAATGCATAGGAAACCCCCTCTCTCAATCATTTCCACAGAAACAAAAAAAAAACTTCCACATAAACAATATAAGTTATGATGTAAATTGAAAACATAGCTCATCCCAATAATTTACAGCTATTCAACCATAAGAGTAACAATACATGCTCAAGATAAATTCAAAACTAAAATTTTCCAATAAACAAGCTACTTAAAAAGCAGATGACAACTTCTCATTGACAAAAGCACCGAGCATTCCCTAAAGACGGAGTACTGCTTATAAGAAATTTATTTTCGCATGCCATACTTTGAGTAGAAAATAGAGCCTTACGAGCATAATGAACGTTCAAACTGGGAAAAAACATCATACCTTCCTAGTTCGCCCACTAATACAAAAAGAGCAGCTAAGAACTCCTCGCAAACACAAGCTTCCAGCATTTTCAACAGACGAGGCACTGCTTCATTGTACATCCACTCCCAGCCCTACATCCAAATGACACATTTTCGTAAGTAATGTTGAGAAGTCTACTACATGAGTGCTATCATAATTAAAACTGTATATGGCCAGCATGGATGGGCTAGAAATCACATGAGCCACGAGGTAACAAAGTCACCATTAGTTGAAAGACCTACTGATTGGCTGAGAAATTTATCAATGAACTATGAGATTACTGAACATCAAGATATAAACATTATGCCCTTTGAAGACGACTTTGATTTATAAGAATTGGTACACCTGATGCATGACTACAATGTTTTAAATGCATGAGCTAAGAATTTTGCACGATTTTGAAAAGAGCAAGAATAATTACGACTATTAGCTAATTAAACGAAAAGAGAAAACGTAAGAGCGGTCACTACGTTTAGACCAAGTTACGTGATAAGCGCTTAAATTATCAAACAACTAAGAATTTCAATAGCATGCAAATTAAGTAGCTTTCAACAAAATTCCTACGCTAACAATGAGATTAAAAGCATAGAAAGCTAAACTCAATTCATACGATTACTAGGCTTGGCAGAGATAGGTGAACAAGACCTTCCTAAATCAAGTCAAACCACAAGAGAGAGTTAAAACTACGAAAATACAAGAGTAGGAAGCTTGGTAAACCTTTGTCACGGTAGGAGGTACCGGTCCTAGCCTTGCCAGATTTCACTCAGACCTTCATTGTGGAGATGGATGCGTCCGGATATGGGTTTGGTGCAGTGCTTATAAAGAATCATAGGCCCATTGTCTATTTCAGCCATGTTTTGACTGGTAGAGCCAGGCTGAAGTCAGTCTATGAGAGGGAATTAATGACGATCGTTTTGGTCATCCAAAAGTGGCGACCCTACCAACTTGGGAGACATTTCGTTGTCAGGATAGACTAACGGAGCTTGAAATACCTGCTGGAACAATGGATGGTGACAGAGGAACATCAAAGGTGGTTGTCCAAGTTGCTCGGGTACGACTTTGAGATCCAGTATAGGCTAGGAGTGGAGAAAAAAGCGGCGGATGCCTTGTCTAGATGTATGGGGGAGCTGCAGGCAGTGGAATTATCTGTTCCTCTAATGCTTGACTAGGAGGCCATCAGAGAGGAAAGTGCGAGAGATGAAGGTTTGGGAAAGATCAGGTCAGATTTACTGACAGGAGAGGGTAGCCACCCAGGGTACGCGTTGGAGGGAGACAAACTACTATATCAAGGGAGATTTGTGATGCCCCGAACCTCGATCCACATCCCAAACTTACTACAGGAGTTTCATGGAAGCGCGGTGGGGGGCCATTCAAGCGTACAGAAGACATACAGGAGGCTAGCTGCGAAATTGTACTGTAAAGGGATGCGTAAAGATATAGAGGAAATGGTGGCTAGATGTGAGATCTGTCAAAGGAATAAGTACCTGGCTATGTCACCAGGATGATTACTATAGCCGCTAACTCTACCGGGAAGAGTGTGGGAGGAGATATCTATGGACTTTATAGATGGGTTGCCACGTTCAGAGGGGTTCACAGTGATCTTGGTGGTGGTGGACAGGTTGAGCAAGTATGCATATTTCATTCCCCTCCGACACCCCTACATAGCAGTGACAGTGGCTTCAGTTTTCATCAGGGAGGTGGTCAGGTTACATGGAGTACCCGAGGCGATCATATCAGATAGAGACAAGGCATTCCTCAACCATTTTTGGAGAGAGTTGTTCATACTGCAGGGGACAATTCTGAAGAGGAGTACAACTTACCACCCATAGACGGATGGCCAGACGAAAGTAGTCAACAGGAGCTTGGAGACGTACCTGAGATGCTTTGTGTCAGAGACACCCAAGCTATGAGCTAAGTGGCTATCATGGGTGGAGTACTGGTACAACACATCTTTTCATTATGCTTCACAAATGACCCCATTCAAGGCATTGTACGAGCGGGATCCCCCACACTTGGTGCACTTTGGGAGTAGCAGTACTTCCGTTTCTTCAATAGAAGAATACTTGGAGGAGAGGGATCGAGTGTTAGATGAGTTGAAGAGGCATTTATTGAGAGCTTAGCCAATTATGAAGAAACAAGCGGATGAGCATAGGAAGGACATCCAATTTGAAGTGGGGGAGAAGGTGTTCTTGAAACTCCGACCATATAGGCAGAGGACAGTCGCCCACAGGAGGAATGAAAAGTTGTCTCCAAGGTACTATGGGTCTTATGAAGTGCTGGAGAGGAATGAGACAGTGGCATATCGACTGAAATTACCACCATCGGCGATGATACATCCGGTTTTTCATGGCTCGCAGTTGAGGAAGGTCATTGGTGACTACACAGCCAACCTCGAGCTACCTATGACGCTTACTAAGGATTTAGAGATGGTTCTGGAACCCTTAGAGCTGATGGGAGTGCGCCAGAAAGAAGATGGAACTAAGAAAGTGTTGATCGTGTGGAAGAACCTCCCTGACTACGAGGCTACGTGGGAGCCATACGAGAGGACGAAACAGCAGTTTCCGAATTTTCACCTTGAGGACAAGGTGGTTCTTTGGGAGGGCGGCAGTGTTACACCGGCTCTGGCTGAACCAGCTCAGCCTGTCATGGGGCCGGTTCAGCATGTTTATCGGAGGCAGAAGTAGCCCGCCTCCTTCCTTTTCAGCCAATTTGGTGGGCCCCATCCAGCAAAACGTTTTCAAAAGGGAAAAGGGTGGGGTGGTTTGGGCTTTGAGAGGGAAAATTAATTAGGAAACCATTCGTATTAAAGTGCATGAGGGAATTGGGGAGTTTTCATGTTTTGATTGATTGAGAATTAGGGTTTGTTGGCGTTTGGGCTCTAGACTCTCTTGTCTAGAGATTTGGGAGAGACGATCCTCCTCTCGAATTGAGGATCATTTGTATCTTTCTTTCGTGTTGATTTTGTTTTGCTTCCCTTATTGCAATCTATCGTTTTGAGGCCAATTTCACCCATATTTTACTTATTTCTTATTGTTTTTTCTCCAAATAGTGATAGGTTTGCTTGAGAACTCAAGTATTTCCTTGGGGTTACTTAAACTCGAGTATTTCCTATCAAGATGTAATCCACCATTGAATGGTACAAAGTTGCTCCTTTCTGGCTTCGACGAGAGTATCTAGAATGCGCTCCACGTATTCCTCGACGGTGTTGTCGATATTCAGATTGACGTCGAAGAAAATGGAGTGAAGGATGTGAACGAAACCTTGCTCGTCGTAAGCAAGGTCGTAATCAAGATCGGGATCGGCCATGCATCGATCTTGCGGCGTTGAAGGGTTGAAGGAGGTGGCCCTTTGCTGTCCTTGCTATTTTCCCTTTGAAAGAAAGGGGCTTCCCTAAAGAATCCAAGTAGGAGAAGGTAAGAGAAGGTGGCCAGCCAAGGGGGAGAGGTTTGGGGAATTTAGGTTCAGATTTTGGGAGATTGAAGTGAAGGGAAATTTAGTTTAAACAACTTCCTTCTAGATCCCTCGATTGAAATAATTAAGGAAGGGGAAGGGAGAGAGGGGCCGGCAGCAAGGGTGAGAGGGAGGGGTTTTAATTTAAATCCAAAAGGAGAGATTCTCCTTTGGCAAGAAATTAAACAAGTGGGGCCTAGGAGATTTCGGCCAAAGGAGGTGGATAGGAATTAGGAAAGGTTTCCAAGAGAGGGCTTCATGGGGTTAGGAAGGATTGAGGGGAGAGATTTGGGGTTTCTTAATTTGGGTTTAGGAATTAGGAAAGGTTTAATTAAATCCAAATCAAATTATAAATTCAAATAGGATTTAATTTATGAACTTTCCTAAAATAGATTTCTTAAATTAGGAAAGAATTTTCAAATTCAAATTGTTTTGAAAATTGAAATTAAGCCTTCCCAAATTAAGAGTAATCATTTATGGAATGTATTCAAGAGGGGATTTGAATTTTGGAGGGAGGAGGAAGATGGGGCCGGCGGCTTGGTGGGCTTTGTGGGGAATTTCGGTGGGGTGATGGTGGGGATTAGGTTGGCCGGGAGTTTGGGTGGTGGGATGGGTTTAGCCGGCGGGTGGTGGTGGGGAGTTAAGTGGTCGGCGGAGAAGGGTTTGGGGAAGGCCTTGGTCGGCGGCTAGGAGATAAAGAAAGGAGGAGAAAGAGATAATAAAGAAGAACCACGAACCCGGCTGTCTCCAAGGTTGGTGGGTGATCCGATTTCACTCTCCTAGGGATTTCTCTCTCAAGCACTCTCAAGATCTCACAAAGAAATCAAGCAAGGGAAATTTTTTATCATTCATTCATTCATTAACAAGAAAAGTGAACAAGAGGGCTATATATAGCCTCATACAAATGACTCAGGAAAATAAAAAGATGAGGATGCCTCTGGGCTTACATACGACCTCCCTTAAGTAAGGGGTAAAAGCGGAACACTAATAAAGCAAATACAATATAAAATGAAAATAAAGAAAATACATAATACTACTCAAAAAAACATCGACTCAATCGTGGCCATAGATCGACGGCCACGTCTCTGATAAACTTTCCAAGCTCCAATGTCCCCATCAACACCACTCTTAGTACGAGAAACCATTAGAGCATGAAGAAAGATCATCAATTGTGTGTGCTAGGGTGGTTTTGCCATAAATTAGCCCCTAATACCGAAGGACATGAAAAATTACACAGGAAAAGCAAAAATTCATAATGAAACATTGATAAGTCTATCATTCATAAAATATGCCTGAAGGTGAAGACGAAAGGCATGGAAGACTTAAAAAAGGTAGCAGAAAAATAATTCAGATCGAATGCAAGAATACTCAGTTCCACATCAGATTTTTTTTTTTTTTTTTTTTTGAACTTCTCTTTAGTGCTCCGACAAAGCAAACCATTTGCTATTACTAAAAGTCTCAATTTTGACAGAACTAAATATATATTTCGTTCCTTTTCCCATAAAATAAAGGACCCAAATAAAGCAGAAAAATAATGCAAAAGAAACTCTTAAATCCTCTCAGGGTAATGTGCTTACCATGTAGTGACCCACCAATTCGACCAATGAAATAATATCTATGAAGTCACAAAAAACTGCCTCAGAACGTCTATCTGGCTGATTGCCAGCAAGCTCTCTGTACCTAAAGATAGCACAAGAAGCATCGCACTGGACATCAAATTTGCTTTTAGCATCACTTGAATCTTTATCCTCTGTATCTCTTGTAGGAGCTGATCCGTTTAAAGAAACAAAATACTTAATTGTATTTGAGTGGTCGTCACCAGAGAAGCTATAATCTTCTAAAGCATCCAACTGAAAGCTTAAAAGTTTCTCCATGCATATAGCATCCACGGCAAATGGGCATTGCTTGCATGGTGCAAATTCTACAACCATCCTGGATGTTGAATTAAGACAGCAAGGCGGTGGATATGAAACCAATTTAAGCCTTCCCTCAAGAAGCAAAACCACAGATTTTATAGTGGTCACAAGAAAACTGTAGTTATCCAGGTTGAAAAACCTCTTCCCAAAAATATTAGCAAAAACATGAAGAGCTAGCAAAACCCAAGTGATGTCGTTGTGAAACGTCTGCAGTAGCTTATGAGAAAAAACTAGTAGGACGCCAATATCATCAGCTGCAACACAAATAGACGCTAATACAGTACAGCCAGCAATAAATTGACTAATTGTAACATCTTGAGAGAGCACGCAGTTATTTCCCACATCCAGGTGAAATTTACAGTCCGGAAAGGCAGGAAAGCTTGATGAGTGCTGCTTTACATCACCAATTACTAGAACTTCCCTTGCAATAAGAAAACTCTCCATGAGACAGAAAAGGATATCTAAGTGAAACGTTTGATCCAAAACATATTTCGTCTTTCCAGAAGAAACAGCTGCAGGAGAACACAATAATTATACTATTTAAAATTCAATATGACGTTCATACTAATCCAGCAAAAATTAGATATAAGAAGCACTTTGAACACGTATAAAAAGTATTTTCAAAATATACTGCGGTAAACGTCAAACCAAAGATTAAACCCTAATAACTATATGTTCAGCTCAGTACTCTTTAACGATGACATCCTCTGCCTTGATTAATACCACACTGACATTGTAGCACGTTATGCAACTAATATGATAGGAGGGGGCGGCCAGCCCAACCATCCGGTCTAGCATGGACCGAACCAGCCATCTGGCTAGGCAAAACCTGGAGCAAAAAATAGGGAAAATTTGTTTGTGGGGCCGAGCAAAGCTGTGATTCATTATGTTATGAGAAGGAATAGGGAGGAAATTATTTAGATTTCCAATTTGAATTTAAAAAAGAAAGGGAATATTATTTAGGGATGTTTCCTAAAATATGTTTGATTATTTAGGAAGATTTCCTAAATCATGTTTAATTATTTAGGAAGGTTTCTTAAATCATGTTTAATTGTTTAAGAAAATTTCCTGAGTTACGTTTAATTGTTTAGGAAAGTTTTATTTATGACTTTGTGTTCTAGGGCTATTTAAGGCGGGGTTTTCTAGGGTTAAGGGTATGCTATTGCTGAGTTTTGTGTTTTGTTGTAGTTCTTTTCTTTGAGGGCTTCCTAGTGGTGTCTAGATTGTTTGGGAGAGCTGATCTACCTCTCTAATCATAGATCACTTGTATCTTGTCTTTTCATTCATATATAATTCAATAAAAAGTGTTATAGAGTGTTCTTCTGCATCGTTTACTAGTTACCAATTTCTATTTTGCTGAAATTGAATATTCAACCAAGGTTTTCTTCAATTTCTGCATCAACTTCATATAAAATTGGTATCAGAGCGAGATTTTGGAGAAATGACAACAAAGAAGGTGAATGTACTGGAAGGAAAAGTGGAGCAAATCAAATCCCGAATGGAGGAAAAGTTCTCAACCATAGAAGAAAGGTTTACAACCATGGAGAGCCGATTGAGAGGGATGGAGGAAAGGAAAAGGACGCTCTTTGAGATGCAATCCAAAACTCTACGGGCGGTTCAGATTACTAACCCTAACCAAGATTTGACCGAGATTCCCTTGGCCAAATCTAAGGGAAAAGAGATCGGACGGGAGAAGTTCGGCGATGAGAGTTTCTTTCACCAAGAGCCACCTTTTAGGGCTAAACCAATATTGGAGGCATTCGAGGGTAAGGGGAGTGAACGACCGTAGGAGGGGGACGAGCCGAGCAATTTGGATAAGGTCATGGGAGGTGGATGGGAAAAAAGGTGGTATTCCCACCCGCAATACATAGGGAAACATGGAGGTATCACGACAACTGCTACACAGGAGGAGGAAGAAGCTATTTGGGTAGTGGTGATCCTAGGGTGAGGAAGTTGAAGGTGTGAATGATTGAGGACAAGGTTAAGGTAGAAGAACGACCGAAAATTTAAGATGCTCACGCAGTTTTAGTTGTTCCATACTTCATCTTCTGCAAGGATGGAAAAAATTATGATACACTATAGGGTGCAAATCAAGCAGCTTTGGCTAATAAAGTTGCAAAAATTGCTGAAACAACTGATAATGTTGAATCAGCTGCACCTGCAAGCCTTGGGATGGCTGCAGATCCCAAAGTTCTTGAAATGATTAAAGATTTGACCAAGCAAAATGGCTCTTCGAAGACTGAAACAAAAAATTCTACACCGGCTGAAAATTTGACCAAATGATTATAGCAGCTTGTTAATTCTCATCATGTTTTACTGTTTATGAAAGCAAATCCAGAGCAACCCAAGTGCAAGTTTAGCCGTAGGGTGGTTGAAATTTTCAAGAATGAAGATGTCGAATTTGGAATTTTTGATATACTATTATATGACGATGTCCGTGAAGCCATGAAGAAGTTCTCCAACTGGCCAACCTTTCCACAACTCTATTGCAAGGGTGAACTTCTTGGTGGTTATGCTAAGCATGAAAGTGGAGAATTGGAGGTGTTCCGAGATCATGGAATCCTTCTTATTTCAAAGTAGAATTTACCATATTCTGGAGCTCAGGGATCTGGAAACGGCGGAACAATTGGCTCCACAACTCTTAGTACTACTGTAGCTTCTCGACTGGGAAATTCAACTCCTGATGTATTGTTCATGAAAGGAAAACCTAAATAGCCCAAATGTGGTTTTAGCAACAAGGTTGTTGAGCTCCTAAAGCAAGAGAAGATCGAGTTTCAGATCTTCGAGTTTGAAAGCTTCCATGTGCTTTCCAATGAGAAAGTACAGCAGGGTCTAAAAACTTTTTTATATTAGTCTAGCTTTCCCCAACTTTACATAAAAGGCGAGTTAATTGGAGGATCTGATATAGTTCTTGAGATGCATAAGAGTGGAAAATTAAAGAAAGTTCTTGCAGAGAAGGATATTGCACGTCAAAGAATGTCTCCATCTTCAGTTACAATAGCCTTAAATTTCTTGTTAACATTGGCACAAACAAAAGGTGGTGCTGAGATGCTTCATGTCTAATTATAAATTAGGACACAATTTATGTTAAGCAAATCAGCTTAGGTCAAAATGAAACCAAATAATTTTCTAAACTTATCTTAAGCTTATTCAAGCTTATCTTTGTAACCAACCAAATGGCTTAACCTCCATTAAAGACTTAGCATAGCTTAATTAGCTTTAAGCCCCAAGCAAACAAGCCCTTAGACTAAAAAACTTTTGCGTCTTTGTTAATCCTGACTTTATCATGCATTTCGTAATCCATAGTGAATTAAATAAATGTTAGACCATTCCATACAGGGCCGGCTCACGCTAACAGAGGCGGAACTCTCCGCCTCCTGTACGCACCGCTCAACCGCTAGTTACAAAAGAGTTGTTTAGGAAGGTTTTTTTAGAAAATTAGGAGGGAAATTTGAATGTAGGGATTGTTTAGAGATTTCCTTTTAAATTGTATGCAATAACTAGCTTGTTTTCCTAGGATTAGGGCATCTTGAATTTGGCTGAATTTGAGATCTCTTAGGTTTAGGTTTTTGGGCTCTAACAGCATCTAGAGATTTGGGAGATGAGATAGATCCCCCTCTCGAATAGAGCATCAATTGTATCTTGGTATTTTCTTTCTGTTTTATTTGATTTCTTGCAATAAAATTAATATTTTTGTTGTTTTCCATTGGAGTTGTAGATTGTTTTTGCTATTTTTACATAGGTTTTACTTGAAATCTTCAAGTACTTCCTAACAAATTGGTATCAAAACAGAATTTGAGACCGTTTGTGGAAAAAATTATTTTCGAAAAATTAAGCGGCTATTTTTTGCCAGAAGAAGGGATTCTTGCTGTTTTTTGAATCAATATCCAAATTTTTTGAACTTAAAAAATCAAGAGTATTGATGGAGGCCAATAAGGTAGATGCATTCGAGGAACGCCTTGAAGCGGAGATGAGCCAAATGAAAGCAACAGTGAAAGAAAGAATTTCATCCGTGGAAGATACAATTTTCGATCTTCATGAGATGGTAAAGAAGATATTAGAGAATCAAGTTCAAACTGTGGCAGCGGAGACAAAGGGAAGGGCGGGAAGACAGGTAGAAGTATTGGAAGAGGAAATCGGACAAATGAAATCTGAAATTTCATATCTCCAAACTTAAGTTTCAGATTTAAAGAAAAATATTTCAGTCACTCAAGATAAGTTCGTTTCAAAATTTTCCATCCTGGAGGAGATGTTGAAGAAAGCGCTTGAGGTTCAAACCAAAAAATGCCGTCGAAGGTTAGGGAAGTCACCAACAGCCAGGGAAGTGGGGAAAATCCTAAGCCAATCAGACAAATGGAAGCTGAGAAGATGGAGATTTCAGAAGGAACAAAAAAAAAAGCTTCTCCTAGGGCTTATTCCTAGGGAGGAGCCGGGTAGAGGGTATGTGGGGAGGCGTGAGGGGGTTGGACACGAGTGGAAGGGTGTTGAATTTAAAAGGGAAAGTGAAAATTTTGACCAGAGGAGGGTTGAATTGGAAAGAGGAGTTTGTGATGATCCAAGGGGTGCTGAATTTGAAAGGAGGTGGGAATTTGATGAAATGCTTCGGTATGAACGTTAAAGGAATGATTGCGACACTTGGGGGGAACCACCACATTGTGAAATGGAAAATAATGGAGGGAACAGAGGAAACAAAGGTGATTCGAGGGCGAGGAAATTGAAGATGCCAATCTTTGAGGGGAGGATGCGCACGGGTGGATCTATAAAGTTGAAAGATTTTTTCGTCGTCCATGGGTTGACAGAGGATGAGAGACTGACGGCAGCGGGCCTATGTTTGGAAGGGAAGGCTTTGGCTTGGTACCAATGGATGGACATGCGACGACTTATATGGAGTTGGAGGGAGTTCAAAGATTGTTTGGTAGAACATTTCCGAACAGGCAGGGGAGGAGACTTCTACGAGCAGTTCTTCGACTTGCGCAGGATGGTTCAGTGATAGAGTACTGGGAGAGGCACGAGTACCTTGCTAGCCGTATGGACCGCCTTTCTGAGATAGTGCTAGAGGGGAACTTCATGAAGGAATTGACACCAGAGATCCGGGCAGCAGTTAGATTAATGAGGCCTCGTGACTTGGGAGAGGCTATGGAGCTAGCTCAATTGGTAGAGGATCAGAGGCACCTCGAGAGAGAGATAGGAGGCAACAGCTCAGGAGGCCCGTACAGGATGACCACCACCTTATTGAAATCCAATGAGCCAACACCAAATACTCTTCGAGGGACTTCAAAGGAAAAGACTGCAAGAGGAAGACCTGGGGACAACTTCAAGAAGCTCACAGAGACGGAATTACAGGAGAAGAGGGCGAAGGGGCTCTGTTTCAGTTGTGTCAAGAGGTATACACTGGGCACAGGTGTAAGGACCGAACTCTTCAGGTTCTAACCATTTGTGATGAGGAAATGGAGGAGGGTGTCGTCTTTCCACGTTGCGGACAATGTGGGTCTTTGGGAGGGGAGTATTGTTAGACCGGTCCTGCAAGTCCATACAGGACCGGCTCACGCAAGCCGCCTATACGCACCACTCAAGCCGCCAATTACGAAAGAGTTGTTTAGGAAGGTTTTTTTTTAGAGAATTAGGAGGGAAATTTGAATGTATGGACTGTTTAGAGATTTCCTTTTGAATTGTATGCATTAAATAGCTTGTTTTACTAGGATTAGGGCATCTTGAATTTGGCTGAATTTGAGATATCTTAGATTTAAATTTTTTGGCTCTAACAGCATCTAGAGATTTGGGAGAAAGATACCTCCTCTCGTACATAGTATCAATTTTATCTTGGTATTTTCTTTCCGTTATATTTAATTTATTGCAATAAAATTATTGTTTTTGCTGGAGTTGTGGACTGTTTTTGTTATTTTTATCAATAGTGTTAGCTTTTACTTGAAATCTTCAAATACTTCCTAACAATAAACCACAATATTCACAACATCTGCCTAGAAAACCTTGAGAAGTTTAACATGCAACCACATACTTCTTACTCTTTCATTTAGTCTTGTTAATGCACTCACCAATACAAAATCCTCTAAGCTCATTTTTGTAGTATCCCCTGTATGATATGATTGCAAGTACTTCATCCTCACAACGGACTCATTCTTTATATGAGATTGTCCATATGTTGTAGCAAGAAAACATGATAGATTTATTTTTCAAAAAAATAAATACATACATAGAGCTAATGCAGTATAGTGAGCCTCCAAAAGATGTCACTGGAGTTGGTTCCAAAAAATAGAAAAATCCAAAGCTCCAATTTATCATTATTCATTATTAGGTTCCCTTTCAGCCAATGTTAAATTAGCCAATATTCTCTGCGGTGATCTCTATTGATACCTTCATTCAAGGATCACATTATGTCTTCTCTTACATGAATCTCATTGCCACATAATTGACTCTCTATATTTGGTTCGTGCCAATATCTCCTTCATGAATCGGTGGTGCTCCACTTAGAACACTCAAAACATCTAATTGACAAAATATTCAAATTATTTATTATAATTATTATTGTTTCATTATTGAGCATAACCTTATTTACTCTAGTTTTTCTTTATTGTATCTCTTTTCTTGACTATATGCAAGGGCTTATATGCTTATACTAGGATTTATAGTCTAGTAAATTTGTAGTCCTTTTTCAATTATTCTTCATCTAACAATGGAAAACTTTTGACAATCAGAATTAAAAAGCAAATAGTTCTTGATATATCTAGTTCTTAAGAAAGGGCCATGGCTCACTTTGCCTTTGAAGTGACAAGTAAAAACTCTTCTTAGGGAGTTTGTCTAGTATATTATACCATTTTATATTAGGAAATTTGATAATCAAGACACTATTCATATTATTAGCAATCCAACCTCAACGAAACAAATTAAACATATCAAATTTAATTACCACTTTCTCGGGGATGTGTTCTATCAAAGAAGATCATCACTCATCATATTGCCAATCAAGAACAATAGTATATCTTTGTCAAAGCTTAATCCCGTAGGACCTCTCCATTTTCAAATAAATGTCACAAGTTGGATGTAATTGATACATATGCCAAAGCTTAAGGGGAAGTATTAGCATAAAAAATATCAAGTTAGAAAAGTAATCTATATTTAATGAGTAGTGTAAATTTATTTGGTAGTTCCTTCAAAAATTGTATTTGTTCTTTATAAGAAAGTTCTGCTAACATCCACTAAACTATGCCGCCCCTCAATATACACGTGTCTTTATTTTTACGGTTATAAAAACAGCTTCATCCTTATTTTGAACTATTTTTATTAATACAATCAGCATCAATCCAATATGTTGTATTATAGGTATCTTCATGTGATCTAGTACAAAAGATAAGGCTGAGGATGTAATTTTTTAGTGGGATAAAATAAGTAGAAAAGTTTGCACCAATTATCCACATAATTAGTCATACAAACATAAACATGAAGATAAGCAAGATTAAATTTCAATTTTTTAGAAGTAAGAAGTTCTGCTCGACATGTAAACGTTAGGAAGAGGAATCAATAAATTGTAGCATTCAGTTTCAAGCTATTGTTTATATTCAGCAAGTTTCATTATCACATTTGAAATTACAAGCTTTCGCATACCTCTGACTATCTCCATGGAAAATGATTCCAAGAACTGGAAAGAATCTTCATCCACGATGTGCTTGCAATGATCTGACATCCTCTCAGATAAATTGGCAAGCAAAAGTGAAAAGAAAACTGCAACCTTCTCCCTGAAGGAAAAAAAATAAAACAATTAGGTCAGACAGAGGCTAGCTTTATCATCGTAAGTTATACCAATGTGAGAAGTAAATACAAAGAAGGCCAAAGCATTATTATCAACTAAGAAAAAAATATTGTTTAACCAAAAATGCCCACAACAATAAGTGTCCAGAGATAACATACTCTGATTGGAGATCTTCTAATTGCAATCCATCAAGGACTTCTACAATCAGTAAGTCTGTCTTGGAAACCATTAAGTTTTGGGGTGTAACAGAATTGAAAGAAGAAATAATTCTAGACATGCTGTCCGTATTCCTAGCACTTGAAAATGAAGTAAAGGAACGGATAATTCTTCCAGGATAATTTTCATCTTTAGAGGGAGATTTTACTTTTGAATCAGGATATGAAGATGAGATGTTGGGGACTGTTGACATCAAACCGGACTCCAATTTCTGTTGGATATTATGTTCCGTGCCTTCTTCTGCACTGGTAAGGCTGTTTCCTGCAGTTTTATCAAGAGATAAGCATTGCAAAAGATCAATAACTATGATCAAAGAAATTTGCAGCATAACTTCTTACCTTTAGTTAATTTATCTGTATCAGAGGGAAGTGTTCGATTTAATCCCTGAACAAAAACAGGGTCAATTACTGTTTTAACTTCTGATTGATTTTTAATAAAATCTGAATTCATTTGCTGACAACCTCTAAGTTCTTTACTTAATTTAACCACGCATGAAGATAAATGGCTAGTCGAATCAGAATTATCTATTGCACTACTTCCAGAGTGGCCACACTCATGAAATAGTTGGGAATGTGATGGCTCTGAAAATATACCAATTTCATCAGGTGATGGTTGTGATTTCTCATACCCCCTTGAGAAGGTATCGTTAATAACTATCGAAACAGGAACCACTTCAAGCTCAATCTTTTTATGTTCTGCTGGAAAGTGCTTTAAACCATGATATTTCTGATCCGACCTTGTTTTAGGTTCCCTGGGATCATAACCATGCTCAAAAATAATTGACTCACTATTATCAGCTAGACAAGTATCCCGTGTGATATCATGGAAAACATCATGTTGCGTAGTGTTGTTGTTTGACAATTCTTTCTTGGTAACAATTTTCGATTTTGAATTGATGGAAGCATTCTCCAAATCCATGATATTGAACGAACAAGGAGGCACTGGGTTATCCCTTACCATCACAGCATAAGAGATATCTTCTCCATCAAGTTGGAAGTTTGGAATCACGATTTCCGGCAAAGTTGGGGAAAGAGGCACCTCCAAAGCATTCATGAACCTAACCTCATCAGAATAATTGTCCAGCTCAAGCAGTTTCAAACATCCCCCACTTATCATGTTCTCAAAACTCCTTAAAGAAGATTTTTTGTTGCTAAGAGAAGTCACTCCTAGGTCAATGCTAGAAGAAACTGGTCCAGCTGCCTGAACGCAACAAGGTTCCAAACTATATTTGGACATAGATTTACCAGCATTCTTCCTATCACCGCGTTTGACGGCTGATTTTTCAGTTTGATGAGAGGTAGAGGCTATCTTCTTGATGTGATCATAATTATTTTTACAGGGGTCACTTTGACCTTCCTTCTGGGAAAATTTTTCATTATCAATATCGAATGCTGCAGGAATCTGGGAGCAATTTGCCAATGAAACCTGCTTTAAATTTCTCATTCGATCATTCACAGTTGTCACTTTATCTCTATTTACCTGATGCAATTTATCTTCAGTACGTAAAGATTTGGTGCAAATTTCAATCTTTCTCTTCTTTGAACTATTGGCACTCACTTGAGCAACAGCCTTATATGTAGATGAATTAGAGCATGGTTTCTCCACTTCATTCAGAGCAGTGCTTCCAACAGTATCTTTTGCACCAACCTGACAACCTTTGAGCATTCCAATTTGGGCAGCTTCACTGGGAAATTTCTCAATGGATAGATCGTGCTTTGCTTTCTCTGCTAATTTGGTTGTAGAGATCTCAACAACAGAATCTCTTCCCTGTGAGCCCATTAACTTTCTATCAGAAAAATGTATGCTAGTAGAACATACTGCAGAACTTTGTGACTTTTTTCTGAGAGAACCTCCAACCGGAGACTCCAACTCAGAATTTATACCTGTTTTTGGCTTGCTACAGCATCCTCTCGATACAGGAAGACCCATGCATTCGCCTAATGGCATAGCATAGGTGAATGGATCCCCATACTGAATTTCTGATGCTCCAAATTCAGCATGTGAATCAAAATCATCTTTCATTGAGCATAGTAAGTCATTCAGTTTAAAGCATGTCAAATCTGGATAATTCAAAGTCTGGATAACAAGCTTGTTAGCACTTCAACCAAATACTTAGCATAACATAATATTTAAACATTTCAAGAAAGCACTGAAACGAACATTGCCAAATAACATTGAAATATGTGTAATGAATACAAACAGAATGCCAGAATACCAACGGGAGCCTAAAATTTCATAAAATTCAACAACAGACTCTAGCAATCAGAAGTATCATATAGCCTGACATGGACACATAATATATATATATATATATATATATATATATATATATATATATCAGGTTTAAATTTCTTAGACTAATTTGTTATTTAAAAAAAATTTAAGAAAGTTTAGATTTGAAAACCCACCTCTTCCATCAATATATGCACGTGGTTACCGTGGGTGCTTAAGGATGTTTTGTTGTGCCTATGCAAGAATTGCTTTGGAATTGGTCGTCCTAGGCATGCATTGGTTTAGATGGTTTGCAGTCGGCTGGAGTTTCCATTTAGGATTACCTTGTTGAATGTAAATGACAGATGAAAAGATCGTCAAAGAGGGAAAACAGAGTTTTAAAGAAGAGAAAGGATAATAAGGAGAATGATGATAGGAAGGAAAAGAAAAAAGAATTTTTTTAAATAATAGAATATCAAAATTTGCACCAATTCCACGGGCATGGGAAGTTACCATTCTAAGGAACTTTTAAAAAGGGTATTTTTTTTGCATTGATTTAATAATATTTCTTTACTGTCTCACTTGAGTTATTTTCTTTTTTATTTGTCTTAAGAGATTTGGAGCTTTTCTTCATATTAAGATTACGTGGACTTGAGTTTGGGGTAGAAATTTTCTTCTGCCTCTCTTATTTGTACCCTTGGGAAACTTCATCTTCTCTCCTTTCTAGTGGACATCAATTTATTTTAGCCGAACCATGTAAACATAGGGGTTTTCATGTGGTAATTGATCCTTTTGGTATCACTTTGTGCATTAATCGTATTAGCATTTAGCTCCCACATAAAAGGTAGATGTTTTTTCTAACAATAACTTACTCCTTAAACTTATAGAATCACTTAGTTGTCCAATATAATTTTGCTCAAGATGAGTTTCTAAGCTACGAATTAGCAAGCCTATAAAGTTCATCAATAACTCCACCACCATCATCATCAACATTAGCTTTTATAAAACTAGTTTCGGTTGGCTTTATGAATCCTCTTTTTTTTATTCCTTTCAAGCATATACTTCTTCCACCTTTTGAACAACTTATACCAATGTTATCTTAAACTTAATGCTTTTCCTTCTTAATTCCTCATCACTAATTTATTTAGTAGCCAATGGATTTGTTTTCTATCATTTTCTATATGACCAAATCACGTACATAATTTTTTAATTATCCTACATAGAGTCCACTCCAAACATCTTTTTAAGGGCTATTTGGTTGAATTATTTTAGGTTGTAAAATTTTGGTGTTTGGTTGGAATACAAAATGAGGCAAAGTAAAGTACATCAAATGTAAAGTGAAGCTATTCATTTTGAGTGTAAAGCAAACTCTTCCGATTTTGATTGAAAACCGTCTACACCACAAGCTTGCTTGACCGCCATCCGCCGCTAGACACCGCCAGTCATCGCCATCCGTCATCGGCCACCAGCCGTCACCATTTAGGATTTTACTGCATTCATTACTTCTAACCAAACAAAAAAAACCATTCACCTACATTCATCCAAACAACTCCAAAGTATTCTTTTTACACTGCATTTTCTTTTAAACTACATTCCTTTTTTAGTCAAAATAATCCAACCAAACAACCCCTTAACACAATCATTCTTTGACTAATCATTCATAGTTTTTCCAAACATCTATTTTAACCTTCTCATTTATATCACACTCCACTTAGCTATCAAAGATTTTATTCCTGCCCAAAACTATAATTCATACAACATACTAGGCACAATTACAATTTTATCAAATTTATCTTTATGCCTTCTTCCACTCTTGAAGCACTTCTCCATTTTAGCCATCTCGCCTAAATTTTAGAAGTCATATCCTCAATCTTCTACATAATAGATCCAAGATATTAAAAATTAATCGCATTTAGATATTATTTTATCTTCTAATAATATTGATTGATAATTATTAATTTCACACTCACTAAAGTAGCATAACCTAAAATAGCCTTTGTTCAAAAAATTTCAAGCAGTTTATCTTTAAAAGCATTTTATCAACTATTTTAACTTTTTAATTATTTCAATAAATGTAACATCATAAACAAGTCAACTAAAAAAATCATACAACAAGATGCCTTGCTTTAAACGCATAAAAATCTTCAAAACAAATATCTACACTACTATTTAAAAAATGGCATGAGATTCCACCATAATTTATGATCCTAATCATTTAGTTCAAAAAAATATACTCAACCATTGCTTCTACCAACATTATATTCTAATATTTGAATTCTATGGGTTCCACACAATTCAAAAAGTTATAGTTCAAAACAGAGAGTTCATTATACAAAAAATCAAGTGAATAGAGTTATTCAAGATTTTGAATGGTTACTTTTGGATACTTTTATCATCAATTCACATTTAGAATTGTACCATATCAAGAAATCTCTATGGATCCAATACATGCCCATGGAATCATTTTGAAATGAAAAGCCAAGCGAAATGAGCTTTAAAACTCCAGCTACTATTTTTATTTCCAAGTTTAAATTTGTTTAGTTATATATTTCTCCTAATTTCTATCACATTTTGCTTGTATTCTTTTTATTTTTTATTATTTTCCAACCAAAAGCAAATGATTTTTACCCTCCAAATACACTTTAAGAAAACAAACAGTTAAGAGAGCATTAAGACTTTAAAACCTAAACCTACTACCGAATCACTATTACTTAAATTAATTAATAAACTAGAATTTAAGGTTATATATTAACTTTCTAATTACGGAAGTTAATGAATTTATAGGAAGTAATACTTCATATATGCATCTAAATCATAATAAAATTTATTTTATAATATCAACCAAATTAACTATTAATATGATATATAACTCATAATAAAATCACAAGTAATTTCATATACTGCTGTCATTTCTAATCATTTTAGTATTCAAAAGCATGTAACACATTTTTAAATATTTAAATTTTATTTACTTTATACTAAATTCAAAATTAGTTAAAAATTATAATTGAAACATTAAGTGAAACCAATGACTGAAACAAAAAAAAATTATAAAATTATCAAAATTTAAAAGGCTACAAAACTTCATCTAATCTTCTGAATAACATCTAATTTTTTATTATAAAATTTAGAAAGAGAATAGTAGCATATTTAGCCTATTCCAAGGAATAATTGTTATCAAACTACAAGACACTTAATTGTAATTTTATTGTGGCTCAAGCATCTCTAGCTGACATATCATGGTTCGTCGCTTACAGCTGTGTTCAGATAAGAATGGTTTTAAGCACGAAGGACAAAACATTTCTTTCATATTTCATACAGCAGCCTCCTTCTGTGCGTTTCAAAACTTGACTTCTCAATAGTAATCTTAACCAAGCCCATAATTCGCATCCTCTTCAAGAAGCATAATTCGCTACTCCTTCCTATATTATGAGGTTATAATAACTCAAACAAATTATCTCCATTTTGCCATTTCATTATATTGATTAAATGAAATTATCCATGCAATCAATCAGGGCTGAACAATAAGAGTTTTCCAACCAAAAGTTCATGCTACCAGCCTTTCTTTGAACTCATTGACATGCTCCATGCATTATATACAACATTTTTACAAGACCAACTGGAGTTAAAAATTTTGCAGGACCATGATTTCAAGGTTGCAACTACCTGAATTCTTACATGTAAAAGTTATTTCTTACGAGAGAAACGTAAGGCACTAGTGTAATAATAAATCCAAAACATGTAGAGACACAAACAGCTAAGGGAGCAGTAAGAAAACAAGCCGGGCAAGTGTTCATTTTTCATGAAAAGCCACAGTAGAAGTTAGAAAACAGAAATTAAAGGGTAAAAAAGACGATGGAATTTCAGATTCTACAAATCTGGTTATATGCATGTATAAGATCAAAGACAAAAAAGAAAAAAAAAATCCAAATCAACGAAAAATAAATCAAGTAAATAAGAACCTTTCAGGAAAAAAATCAGATTATGCTTGAACAGAGCACAATCAGAGTTGAGGAATAAACAAACCTTTTGGACATCATCAGTAATTCCCACATTATGAGAAACGAGACCATCAAGCATGTTAAGACGATAAAGAATCTGCATGATATTCTGCTTTAAGAGGTGAACTTCTCGTACTACAACTCTTTTTTCATATTTTTCTTGCTTAGCTACTCTTTCAGCATGCTTCACCCGCTTTCTTTCTAACTTAAGCTGCTTCTTTAAAAGCTTCAGTTCAGCAGCTGTCAGACCTTTACAGACACTACTTTCTCTGTCCCCAAAATTACATACAACAGACAAATCCTCCAACTTTTTCTGAATTTGTTTTCTCTTCCTCCTTTCTTCCTCCAACATCTGGCATGAATCATTTGCCTGCTTTTTTAGATCAAGAACCCTTTTCCTCTCTTCTTCAATCAGCATCTTTTGTTTTTTAGCCTTTTTCCTTTCGGAATCAGCACGCTTCTTTTCTCCATGTGCTTTCAGCTTCTCAACTTCAATCTGTTTTCTTGCATCATAACTTTTCGCTATCTCTGCACTCAATTTTTCTCTCAATTCATTAGCTTCAACTTTCAACTTTTCCAAACATAGTCTTAAATCTTCTGATTTCTTCTTCTCAGCCTCCAAAAGGCATTTATGTTCATCTGCCTTCTTTTTCTCATCTTTCAAAAGCTTCCAAGCTTCTGTTGCTTTCTTTTTCTCTGACTCAGTTTTTCTACCCTCAGAATCAGCTTTCCTTCTTTCCTTCTCAAGAAGCTCTTTAAGACTTTTTACTTCTTCCTGACCTGCTGAAATACGTGCTTTAAGCATCCCAAGCTCATCTTCATCATTACTCTTCAAGCTCCTAATATTCTCCAATGAAGATATCTTGACCTTCAAATCTACAATTTGTTTCTCCAGATCCTTTTTTATATTAGCCTCTTTACTTTCATCTTTTAGCTGCCCCCGTTGCATCTTATGATTCTCAGCCCCTGTAAAAATGAATGTTAAGAATAAGTAACAAAGTAAGCACATCTCTCATAACTACTAAGCATTTATTTGCTTCCATTGCTTAAAAATTCTCACCAAGTAAAACAAGAAACAAAATTTTTCCCAGATAAAATACTTCTAATTCTAACAGAACAACCAAATTGGTTAGCTAAAGTTAGCATGTCAATGATTTGAAAGGTGTTTTAATAAATGTATAAGTTACCTGAATAATGGTTACTTATATTTTATGTTTTGAAATTACTGGAAGTGAAAAAACGATTCTGTGAACAATACCATAAGAGCATAAGAAACATGACTATATATATATATGTATATATAATAAAACTAACACCATTTTTAAATTTGCAAATCAAATAGAAAGAGAACAAAGACAAGAATTTCCTTGAAAATAGCTTTGTACTTTACTGAGGCATGTCACTATGAAATGAGAAGAAGACAACGAACTTGTCTCTGCCTACGTCAATTTTCAATGATCTACGTTGGTTACGCTTGCTTTGCAAGTCTCAGGTAGAAAGAACAAAAAGGAAGAAAGGTACAAAAATACATTATGGAAGAAATAACCAGAAAGAGGATATTATTCCAAATTATTTCATGCGAAGTGCTTCAAAAAATAATAAACCCAACTTCATTGCAAGATAAAGTACATTTCAGAGGATTTCATAGAAATTTAATAAAAAAACTTTTGGGTTTTAAAGCCCTAAAAACATTCCAAAATGGCACAACAAAACCTTGCAAAAATTTATATTAACATGGTTACCTACATAAAATCGTTAGTACTTTTACTTACAAACAATCAGAAATGATCTCTCTTCTGTAATTTAACAAACAGATGCATGCAAGAACATATTCCCATTATTTCACTCCTTTAATTGATTACCAAATTCTTCAGCTGAATCCTATGAAACAAATAGATTTGGTGAAACCTGAAACAAAAGCTATCCAAATCCAAAGTTGAGAGATGAGACACACCAAACAACCATTAGGAAAAACACCTAACTTTTATGCAAAATCACCTACTATAAAACAAATACGAAGAACACAAAGTAATAACAAAAAAGAACAAATCTTCTCACAATTTAGCATCAAAATTTATGTAATTTTGGCAAAAATATACATCCATTGGATAGGAGATAGGACGGATCATATAAGTGTAAAAAGAAAGGGGCAAAAGAGAGCATTCAATAAAAACTCAAGTGCACCAATCTCAACAAAAAACCCAGAGATTAACACAAGGCGGATGATAAATAAATTATATTTAAATTATACCTTAAAATACTCACTTAAAAGTTCCACAAAAAGATACATCCCCCCTACGCCTCCAAAACCAAAAGCCCAAGAAAATCATCGTTGAAATCCTCCCACTACCTAACTCTCGCTATGCCGCCCAAAACAAACTTTATTTAAGTGTAGGAAGTGGTTTCATATCTAAATGAGGTGTATATTATAACTAGAAGCTATCATAAATAAACAATTTTGTAACAAATACTTAAATTTAATTTTAATCAAGAATAAAAGGATAAGATTATTGGAGATAGAAATGGTGTGGATGTGATTATAGATAAGAGTTTGAAAGATAATATTGTAAAAATTGATAGAGTTGAAAATAAAATTATAACTTTGAAGATTATTGTTAATGATAAGACTATTAATATGATAAGTGTGTATGCTCCTCAAGTAGGTTTGGATATGTGTTCAAAATTGAAATTTTATAATGAGTTAGAAGAATTAATACAAAAGATACATCTTAAAGAAAGAGTTTTTTATTTGGGGAGATTTAAATGAACATGTTGGTAGAGAGGTAGAGGATTTTAAAAGCATTTATGGTGGCTATGGGTTTGGAGCGACTAATAAAGGTGGTAAGACTATATTAGATTTTTCTCTACCTTATGATTTTGTTATTGCTAAGATCTTATTTAAGAAAAGAGATGAGCATCTCATCACTTATAATAATGGATAAAGTAAAACTCAAATTAATTACTCTTGTAAAAAAAATAGATCATTTATATTGCAGAGACTGTAAAGTTATTCCGAGTGAAAGTCTATGTACCCAACACCGCTTATTAGTTGTGGACTTTAAAATGAATTGGCATAATATGAAAAATATAGTATATCATTATTCTACGATTAGATTGTGACATTTAAATAACTCTAACAAAAATATATTTGAGAGTAAGATTAACGATCTTAAGATTTTGACAGTGCATGAGGAAGCTAATGTTACGTGAGAAATAGTAGCTTGTAATATTAAGAATGTTGCAAAGGATGTGCTTAGGATATCAAAAGGAAAAGCTTATAATAATAAAAATAGTTGATGGTGTAATCAAAATGTGCAAAAAAAGATCAAAATAAGAAGCTATGTTATAAAAATTTGTTTAGATGTAAAAATTCTGTAAATTAGGAAAGATATAAAGTTGCCCGTAATGAGTCTAAGAAATCATTCCACGATGCAAGGACCTTAGCTTTTAATGATTTATAAAATAGATTAGAAACTAAAGAGGGCGAAAGATATATGTATAAGCTAGACAAACAAAGAGATGGGAGTAATAAGGATTTAGTTCAAGTGAAGTGCATTAAGGATGAAGATCAAAAAGTACTTTTTTGAAGAGAATATTCAACAAAGATGGATGAGATATTTTGCTAATCTTTTCAATGAAGATTATGAAAATATGATTGACTTTAGTGACTTTAACACTCTAAATGAAAATAGATTTTTTTTTTTGCATATTACTAAAATTAAAGTTAGAGAGGTTTTCAAGAAAATGAAGAGTGGGAAAACTGTTGGACCTAATGATATTCCAATAGAGGTGTAGAAATGCTTAGGAGATGAAGGAATTTTTTGGCTTACTAAACTTTTTAATATAAGTTTGAAGACTAAAAAGATGTCAGATTTGTAGAGAATGAGTGTGTTGATCCCTATCTTTAAGAATAAAGATGATGCACAAGATTGTGTAAATTATATAGGAATTAAGTTGATGTGACATACTATAAAACTATGAGAGAGAGTTATGGAGCATAAGTTATGACGTGATACTAATGTTTCTCAAAATCAATTTGGATTCATGTCAGGTAGGTCTACTATGGAAGTAAAACATTTATTGAGAGGTTTGATGATGAAGTATAGAGAGAAAAAGGAAGATCTTCATATGATATTTATTGATTTAGAGAAAGCATATGATAAAGTTCCAAGAGAAGTGCTATGGAGAGTTCTAAAAAAGAAATGGATTAATAATGCTTAAATTCAATTCATTAGGGATATCAGATATGTATGTTGGAGTTGATACTTGTATTCAAACACAAGGGGGTTTGACCAAGTATTTTCCAATTTTAGCTAGATTACATCAAGGATCAGCCTTAAGCCCACATCCTTTTTATTTAGTCATGGATGTTCTTACTAGAGATTTGCAAGAGGATATTCCCTGGTGTATGCATTTTGCTGACGATATTCTTCTTGTTGAAAGACTAAAGAGGGAGTTAAAGGTAAACTTGAATTATGGAGGTCAACCTTATAGTCTAAAGGCTTTCGTTTGAGTTGATCTAAACCGAATACATAGAGTGTAATTTTAGTAGTAATAGATTTAGTGGGGGGGTTGTGAGTTTGAGCGATCAAGTCATTAATAAGAGTACACGTTTTAGATATATTAGGTTTATTGTTCAGAGTGATGGTGAAACATATGGGGATATTATTAGTAGAATTCAAGTTGGATGGATGCAGTGAAGGAATGCATCAAGCTTGTTGTGTGATAGAAAAGTATCACTCAAACTTAAGGGAAATTTCTATAAGATGGTGGTTAGACCTGCAATGTTTTATGGCGCAGAATATTGGCCATTAGAAGAGACGCATAACATTAAGTTAAGCGTTGCATAGATGAGGATGCTCAGGTGGATGAGTGGCTTTACTCTTACAGATATGATACGAAATAAGCATATACGTGAAAAGTTTGGAGTAGCTCCAATGGCAGATAAGATTAGCGAGAGTCGCCTTAGATGGTTCGGTCGCATAAAATGACAGCCTTCTGATGACCCGGTTAGGAGAATAGATGTATTAGATTAACCTATGTTAAGAAAGGTAGGGTTGTACCCAAAAAGACTTGGTTAGAAAATATTAGAAATGACATTTTTTTATCAGATCTAAATGAGAATTTGACTCTTAACCAGACACAATAGAGAAAAAAGATTCATGTAGCCAGCCCCACGTAGTGGGATAAAGGCTTATGTTGATGTTCTTGTTGTTGTTGTTGTAATAAAAGGATAATCTATTTAAATCTTTAAAATCAGATATTCTAATTATTGTGCATATGCTAAAAATACTCTTGCATCAAAGCCCTGACAGCAACATATTTTGTTCTAAACAAATGATGGTTTATACTATTGAGTGCCAAACATGATGAAGATTTTGCATGTAGCTTTGAAATGCAAGAGAACCTTTAATGTTTGAATCATAAAATTCACAAGTTAACACCTTTTCAAATAACAGACAATCATCATAATCATCAAAAGCCATATCCCAACTATTTTGGGCATGTGAATGTCCCATCGCATGAATGATTTTAACAGTTATCTTGATTCTAAATCATTTCATGCCCAAAGCAAAGTCAAAACAATAATAATGCAGTTGGTTGGATGCCTATCCATTTATCCGTGAGTGAAACGTCATAGCAATAGTAGCACTACATGCATCTTAAATAGCCCCATGCCTCCATGAAGTGATACCTCAAGAAAATTCTAAAAGCCATATCACTTAATTCTTTGATAGTGGTAATCTGCAATATTTGAACCAAAAAACAGATTTAATTCTTAACTTGATTTATGCTAACATTTTGCTCAAAAAACAAAATCTCACTAGTTTTACGATACAGTGCAGCAATAGTTGTTACTTGAAAACCCTAACCAGAGCAACATAACAGGATTTCATTAAAAAGCATCTAACTGCCGAATAACGAAGTCTTGCTCTATATTGTGTAGCCTACATTTAATACTTTCTAGAATATGCAACGTCCTAACCTTGAAAATTGAGTATGGGGTTTATACAAAGCACATCTTGATAAAGGAAGGAGCGTTCCAAGAAATAAATTTGTAACATTTCCGAACCTTTTTTAAGAGAAGCAATCTCGACGCTTTGCTTCTCTATTTGTCCCTCCAGGATCTTCACGCTTTGTCGGAGAGCATCCCTGCTCTTTTCCAGCTTCTGGCTCCTTTTTATCCACTGAATCCAACTCACACGAAGAATATTGCAGTCAGGTTAAAGAAAATGGTCCAAAAAAAGGTAGAAGTGAGAAACATTGAAGCCGGATAAAACAATCTCACCAGGGCGCAGCAAGGATTAGGGGAACTAGGTTGTACATTCTCCGCCATGGTCCCTATACCGTAGGAAAGGCAGAACAAATTCACGAGTAGTTAGGGTTTTGTAAGAACTAGATTAAAGATATCAGAGACTTTTGATGCGAGTTGGACTTCCATGTGCATAAGGATTTAGGGCGATGCCGGGGGGCCGTCTTCTATGCCGTGGATGCGATCTGCTCAGGCGTGGCGGCGCCGGAATCGGCCGACCTTCATGGTTTTCCGTGGGTTTGCAAGCTTAAAACCTCAAACCCCTCTTACTTAATCCAGTAATTAATAGGTAGGTTAACTGTGAACAGGTTGCGTCTCTCCAAAAGTACCATTTCATTCCATCAAATAAATTTTAAGGGTAACAAAGGTGACGTAGCTCATTTTATATTTAGGTTGGCAGCTTTGATTATTAATGAAGTGTTCTTAGATTCTAAGCTTTTCATTTAAAGTTCGAATATGTGTAATATGCGTGAATTTATTTTTATTTTTAATTCATTCAAAAATTAAAAAAATATAGACGGATATATATATATATATATAGGCTTATTAAAATAATAAAAAAAGTATATATGACTTGTGAAATAATTTAAATTATTTAATATATAGTTTATTATATTATTTTAAAAATACATTTTAAATATATTTTAATTGAAACGAGTAGCTCGACAAGCTTAAGGCTGGAGCTTAGTTGGGCTAGAATTTGTATAATATATGAGCTCGACTATAGGCTCGAGCTAGAACTCGTGGCTCAATAAACTCGACTCATGAACACATTAACGAGTCGAATTCGAGCCGGCTCATGAGGCGGCTCGGCTTACTTACACCCTTAATTTGGCGAGAATAATTATCTTATAAAAAAAAATTATTATAAAAAATAAAATGAAAAAAAAAGAATTTACATGAGAGCATTCTAAATAAAATTTAAATAAGATATTTTTTATAAATTTAAATTTATTTAGAAATAAATATAATAAAATCATCATATTTAATAGTTTTCCACACTTCATGTACTTTAAAGCCCATATAACTAATATGCCAATAAAAGTGCTAAGGTCATGATTCTCACAATCTTCATAAAAAGTTTAGCAAAATATCTCATCCATCTTTGTTGAATATCCTCACTAAAAATCCTAACTACTTCTTTCTCTTTATTTAACTAACTTAAAAATATATCTTTCACAATCTTTAATATATAATATATTATATAAATCATTAAAAGCTAAAATATTTGCAATATCATTTTTTGTGTGATAATAATAATTATTACTTTTTTATAATTGGACAATGATTTCAAAAGCTTGTAAATCAAAATGATAATTTAATTTATCTTACCTAATTAATTATAAGATTTGTTTTTTAATAATGCTAATAATACCATTAAATTTTGTCACAAATTTAATATTATTTTTAATATTTATAAGAAAACCTCAGCATTATAATATAAGAGAAATTTGAATTTTTATCCGCATAATACACCTAATTGGACTATTATCATTGTTGCATCAAATCTCTTGAATAATCTTTTTGGATTAAAATACACTAAATGATGGAGATGAGCTAATATGAACTTTGCCTAGGGGTGTAAGTGGAACAATTATTACGTCCTCCGACCGGACGTAGAGGAACATCCGGTCGGAGGTAAAATTCCCGTCAAAAAACGAGTTGTATCGAGCAAATACCGAGCAATACCAAACAATAACGAAGAATACCATCATTTGAATACCCAATACCGAGTTATACCGGGCTTTACCGAGCAAGAACTCAAGCTCGAGCTCATTAATGATTAAATGAGCAAGACTTGATAAGGCAAATACTCGACTCAACTCGACTCGTTTACACCCCTAACTTTACCACCCACCCTATTTCTATGCATCTCATATATCTATTTACAAAGAACTTTAGTTAATAGCTATTGTTAATTCTGATACTTTTAGTGCTCATTTAATGCTATTGTAGGTGAATTTTTCTGTTGTGAGAATTTTATTATATTAATTTTTATTAATGAAAAAAGCTGCTAAGAATCAGAGCTAAATTTTCTTTAAAATCTAGCTTGACTTGTTTATCTTATATGTACATAAGAGTTATGTTGTAATTCTTTGCAATTATATGTTTATGAATTTTTTGAGTTGATTTCCTCATAACACCAAAATAACTATGCTAAGCCCAAAAAAAAATCAGTATTATCAAAATCATTAGTATCTTAATAACAAATCCAATTATGCTTACATAATGGTTGAACAAGAATTCGGGTGCTTCCAAATCGAATTAAATTCAGATCCAACAAACCACTCAACATCAAGTAAATGGGTCAGATTTGGGTTGACCCTGAACTGATCGAATTGATAAGCCTACTTAGATTAGTGCCATATGACCACATGATAGAGCATGCCACCAACCCACATGCACACAATAATGATTGTGTCAAAAGCATGAGAAAAAAATAAAATAAAATGGAAAGAAAGAACTAAACAATGCATCATTTTTTAATAAAGTTTAATTACTAGATCCTTCAACCGTGAAATTATTCTATGCGGATACAGACGTCGTCCGGAGGCAAATCAGAACGTGCCACATCACCCATTTGCTCTGTACTGCTGTGTAACGGATTACGTAGCGCATTATGATTCTCCTTCGGACAGTTCGGAGTCTTCACATAATAAGTTTTCCCTTCAACAAAGTATTGATTCACCAGCTTAGTACTATCATTCTCTCTTCCAGAGAATGCATCAAGTTGTCATCATAGAACCAATAAACTTAGCTTCGCTCTGAACATTTTTTTTTTTGATGCTTTCAAAAAAAAAAAGATTGTCCTATAAAACTGCTTTAAAAAATAGTAAGAAAATTATCCTAAACGAAACCTTAGCAGCCATTTGATCCAACCTTCTGTGTATTGATACACTTTAATAAATCTGGATCCATAAATAATCTTTTTATTATATCAAACCAAAGAAATCTGTCTAAGACATCAGAATATCAAGCAGTGGGGCAGCAATTTGCAAGAGTAATATGAAAAACAGAAGAGGAGGAGAGAGTTAATAGACTCTAAAAAAACATCAGAGGCAGCCAAGTGCTACAAAAGATACAATTCATGGAGTTCACAGGCATCCCAACCTTAATTAATTACAGCAAATTTTCAGGGCAAACTAAAGAGAATCAATTCTTCTTCTGAGAAGCTTTCAATGCAGGTGGCGAAGTCCCAAATATGACATCCCACAGTGAAGAAGTGATTCCAAATCCCAGTGTTTGAACTCTGAAGTGATGGTTCATATGATAACGCTGGAACAAAACAATAAACTTTAATGTTTGTTTCATGACAGAATACTGATAAAGAAATTCAGGTTGAGATTCTCATATTTCTCACCTTGAGATATTTTGCTCGGTTACTGGATGGATTGCCATGGTGCAGGTAGTAATGAATGCAATCATACATTACATAGCCAAGCATGCCACCCCCAAAGAAGGCGGGTGCCGCGGCGGCGGGTACCGCCGTGGTGGTTGTTAAGAGTTTGGCCAGACCAAAGAACTACATGAAGAAGCATGTTGCACAATCAGTATCAGACTTTGTTGGGACGGCTTTCTTTCTGCTTCTTAAATCAGCTTTTTAGTAGAAAAAAATTAAATTTTGTACTTAAAAAAATTGCTTTAAAAAGCAGTAAGAAAGTTATCCTAAATGAAATCTCAATAGCGTAAGGGAGGTGGAAGAGTGATAGAGATGGTGTTGAAGACATTCATGTGTTGATAGAAAGAGAAATAGAGGTGTAAGAGAGCAACAAATATGCCTACTAATTCTCTTTATATCACCTAATGCAGCACAAGAAAATGATCTCCATGATTCTGGTAAGTTAGATTATTTTTAAAGTTTATTTGTTTTGTTTAATTAGAATTTTTAGGAGCAATTAAGATTTGAATTCAATTTAGTTTGATCTTATGTTGTACCGTTATTTTTATAAGTAGGGGCTAAAGGGTTGCTATCTAGATTATGGAAACATGAATTGAAGTTAGAAAATATTCCAACATTTTCTCTTTTCTCTCTCCTCTCTCTGTTTGGAGGTATTCTCAACCTTCGATCTAAAAACCTGTAGTCCTTCTCATGGGACATTTTCATTCCCCAAATATAGCTTTCTCTCATACACATCTCTGCTACTCTAATAACCACAATATCAATACCTCCATCTCCTTCCGATTGCAGCCGAGTGCAAGATAGCCCAAGAACCTCCTCCTCGACACACTTGAGGAATCAAGAATCTCATTGCTTTATCCTCCAACTTTTTATTCTCCATCAATTTTGTAGTAGAGCTGAAATTTCTAATGATAATTGCATTAAAAATTTGCTAGACAAATCCATCACGAAACATCAGTCATTCCGCACCACCAGGCTATCTATAAAACTAAGAAAAATTGATATATATATATATACACGATGAAACAAGAATTCCAAGAAGATATATCACAAACAAAAAAAATTGCCCATGTTGTTACAAAATTCTCCTAAATAACTTTGGAATCATTGTTCTGAATTGATTAATCGTGTTTTAACAAGCTTATAAACTTTTTGTGCACGTCATGGGGTATAGATTAAGTTTTAATGAGTTATATGATGCCTAATTAAAAGTTTCACACATTATTTATTATATTAAATTGTACTAACGCAAGTTTTGCTCTGATGTTTGGTTAAAAATATGACCAAGAACACTAGATAAAGTAGTTAAGGAATCAATAAATCATCATGCATATGAATCTTATGATGATACTACTAATTCATATTTATATGATATCTGTCAATATCAACATCAAAATTGGTCAGCTACATGAATTCATTTTCTCCATTGTGCCCTATTAAGAATCAAATTCTCATTTAAATATAATAAAATAAAAATTAAAAATTAAAAAATTATATATATATATATATATAAGTCATTTATTATATATATATATATATATATATATATATAAAGTCATTTATAATACATTTTAATCAAGTCTCTTTATGTCTACCTCTACCTTTCTTCACATAATTCGAATCTAATACATCTACCCTCCTAACTGGGTCATCAGAAGGTCGACACTTTATATGACCAAACCATCTAAGGCGACTCTAATATTTTCTGCCACATGAGGCACTCCAACCTTTTCATGAATATACTAATTTCGCATTTTGTCTCTAAGTGTAAAGTCACTCATCCACTTCAGCATCTTAATCTCTGCAACATTTAATTTTATGCTTCTCTTTTAATGGATAACATTCTGCACCATAAAGAATTACAGGTCTCACCACCATTTTATAGATTTTTACATTAAATTTGAGGGGCATTTTTCTATCACACAATAGGTCTGATGCATTCCTCCACTTCAACCATCCAACTTGAATTCTCTTCATATGAAAACCTTTAAATTCTAAGATTGACCTCCATAATTTGAGTTTTTCTTCTACTTCCTCTTTAATATTATCAACAAGAAGAATATCATCAGCAAAAATCATACACCAAAGTACGTCCACTTACAAATGTATAGGAAGAACATCCATGACAAAAACAAAAAGATACCAGCTTAAAGTTGATTCTTGATGTAATCATTTAAATGATAGTTGTAATGAGCATTATTATAATGAGCTCATGAATAATATGAATGTCATCAATATAGATATTATAATGGTTATTCATATGGTTATTCATAAAGGCATCATATCATGATGATAAATCAATTACATATCTATTTTTCAAACTCCAAAAGTTCAAAAACTTGTATTAATTTCTAGAGTATAAGCATTTTTGTCATATCCACCAATTTTGCAAATGAACTTGATGATGATCATTCAACAAGTTAATCAACGAATTCAAATATTCTTCTTGATATATGTAAGATGATCAAATGCTCAAAATTTGTTGCTTGTTCCCTCACGAAATGCAAAACTTGATTTCATATTAGTATTTTTGCAACAACCACAGGACTAGGATCATTTACAAAGTTTTACAAAAGATATATGATGCCTGATTTGTTGTATTAAGCTCGTTTTAAATGTTAACAAATGCATCGTGTATTTTGACTTACAGCTCTAACTAATATGTGATATATCAAGAGCTAAAAAATGTCGGGTAATGCCCTAGGTTTTCTCATATGTTTTTGAATGGTATTGTTCTCATTGACTTGCAGGCTATTTGCTAAAATTAACAGTTGGCATGCTAAAGCGTTTGGGATCAAGTAATTTAGTTTCCTTTGAGACCAACATATTCATTTGATCAAGTAAAGATAGGTTTAGCCTTATATTGACAAGAGATGAATAAATAGTGCTTAATCTCATGCTGAATCAGACAGGGAGAAAGTAAGTTCACAAGTTGCTAAATTACAAACATCAACATTAGCATAGCACAAGCATTGGAATTGAAATGGAGAAATATTTAAGGGGCCATTTGTATCATTTTTTATTTATTTATTTATGTTTTAACATAAAATAAAACATCTTTTAGTATATTAAAAATATGTTACTTTTATTTTCACCGAATATCAAATTAATTGATTAATGAAGTGATGGTGATGGTCTACAATGTAACAATAATTGTGGTCAGCGGGATTGTAGTTGACGAGGTTATGACAAGAATAATGGTCAATTGCAGTGTTGGCAATAGCTGACATGATGACATTGTGATAGTTGTTTTTAAAAATATTGTTTTGACTGGTTTTAAAAACAATTTGATTTATATTTAAAATAAAAAATAAAAGAATTGAAGAACGCACCAAACAAATATGTTCTTTATTAAAAAAAAAAAAGTCCCATGCACACCCTAAGGGTGTCATTCCTTTGCTTAATTTTTTAGGCATTTCATGTAAACACGTTAGGTTTGCAAAGCTAATCTTTTTACTTAAAAAAAACAAATAAAAACATATTTTAAAGTTTCATAGATAGATCTCATTTAATATGGATTTGATGTGATCATCGATCTGAAATTGTATAATACTTTGAAGTTAATGCCACATATTCACGTACATGATACAACAATTAGATTAAAACAGATAGAAGAATTGAGAAAGAAAAAGAGAGAGAGGGAGAGAGAGATAGAATCAAAGTGAGAAAGAGGTAAAGAGTGAGAAGGTGAGGGAGAAAGAGAAAAAAAAAAGTGAGAAGTTAGAGAGATATAGAAAGAAAGTGGGAGAGTGGTGAAGGAGAGAAGAAGAGAAGAGGGAATAAGAAGGGGAGAGGGAGGTGGTCGACAGCTCCTTGGCAATAGAATTTTTCTTAAATCCACACACCTCACAAGCTTCTCTTCTCCTTCTCTTGCCAGTGGTCTGAACGATACCTTCCTGCGAGCTCCCATGCATTACTTCCTCGCTTCCACACATCGTAGGTCCCATCGATGCTATCACCCACAAGCTCCAGCACGCAACTTCCTCACTTCTTTGCCGTAAATGGTTTTGAGAATTTGGTTGGGACAGGAATTAAGGAAAGAGAGAATGAGTGTCGCTCAATTTGAGAGGGCAAGGACAAAGCATGGATACACGAAATTGTGAAGAATGGGAGAGGTATGTGAGAGGACAAGCTACAAGTAATGCTTGGATTGACAAAGCATTTTTTTATTTTTTTTTTGAACAAAATTTATAAAAAGATATATTTAAATTAACTAGCACAATTTCTCGTTACAATTATGTATCATCGCCTAGCACTAGTTTTTTTTTTTATTATTGTGCGGCAAATTATATAACATGCGTGTTCGTCCAAGCTGTTCCTGATACTTAAGATGTGCCGGAGTGATCTATTTTCAAAAATAAGCAGTGAAGAATTCAATTTTGGTTTAGGCATTTTAAAGATATTTTGTGCAACATTGTATTTGTCACTCGTTGTTTTCACCATATTAGATCGGATCAGCTTTAAAACAATTGTTGAGGCTGATAATATTGCAAAATCATTCCTAATTTGGCGTATGTATGCAATTAGTATATACATTCCTCGTTCAATATTATCATTCTAAAACAACAAACTATTTATGTTTTAATCTTTATTTTTTGTCTAGCAGATGTTTTTTATATGTACATTTTCATCATTAGCACTATTGTCTTTGCATAGCTCCCTATTTGCGTCTAGCATACCCTGCCATAAGTTGCCTATCATCACACTAAACTGATGATTGACTCTGCTTGTGCATTTATATTAATAAAAAATGCACGTGACTTGTTCTGAATTTGAAAAAAGTTTCACACAATTAATTCACTCAACTTCCAACTTCTTGGTTCTGCACTACGACAAACAAAAAGATAGCAACATAATCCAAAGCCTCTAAGATCTACTTATTTAGTACAAGAGATCTTCATCAACTAGTTCCACCAGCTCCACCAGGGAAATAGATATTACAAGAAATGGCTTCTACATAACTTTTAAGGAGAAGAGTTATTTGGCCCCAAAAGAATTGATGCAACACAAAAAAATTTATCTTCAAATGATTATAGTAATTTTGCTTATGTTAGAATTCTTTCGGTTTCATTTTTTTAATTGTTAAGATTATATTTATTTCAATTAGATGAAACAATCAGTAGAGTTATCTAGATTTGAATTTGATTGAAACAAATTAATTCAAATATATCTAGTAATCCTATTTCTATAAATAAAGGTTTAAGGGTTGTCAACTAAATTATGGAATCATGAATTAAAGTTAAAAAAAAATCCAAGATTCCCTCTTTACTCTCTCTCTCTCTCCTCTCTCTCTCTCTCTCTCTCTCTCTCTCTCTCTCTCTCTCTCTCTCTCTCTCTTATACCAGCGGTATTCTCTACTCTCAATCTCTCTCTAACCATAATCCTTATTACTAGAGTTTTCTCCAGCACAACTTCCTCTTATTCCCACCTTTTCTCCTCTAATAACCACAGCTCCGGTGTCTCCATCTCCTGATAGAAAAAAACTCCAAGACAGCCAGAGTGCTTCCTTTAGACTCAATGAACCAACAATTTCATTGATTTCTCCTTCTCTAATTATTTTACTTACAATGGGTTGTGTAACAATTTTCAAATATCTTTCGCCCAAGCCCCAGCTTGAAAACTTTGCGTAAGGCCCCAACCATGCAGCAGTAAAACTCTGTAGCCCTCAAGTCATCTGGAGGCCAACACAATCAATCATTTCTCTATCCGCACAGAACCGCAATTTTCTCAATATGAATGCTTATAATGCACACATAAACTCGTCAGATATTGAAATGACAGAAGAAACTAGAACAGACTTACTGGAAAGCAAAGAACAGCTGCTGCAGCTGGGGGAAAAACTAGACGGAGACCATCCATGGGGTGTTTATGATGGCATCCATGAAGAAGATAATGTGCTGTGTTTGCCCTGCAAATTTATGTTGATGATAAATCTGTTATTTGGATTTTGGCTGATAAAGGTTACTTTAAGGTTTTATTTGGGACGACTTTCTTACTACTTCATAAAGCAGCTTTCTAGTACAAAAGTTTTTGTACTAGAAAGCTGCTTTATAAAACAGTAAGAAAACAGTCCCAAAAGAAACCTAAGTTTGTGACACTAAAGCAGCCAAATAATGGCAACTAACCAGTAACTTTCTGTCTTAATGTGGAAGAGAAATCGGTGCAAACAGTATTCAATTAATGTCCATGTAAATATTCCAGCCAAAATCAGCAGAGAAACTTCAAGTAGTGATTGACCCATGCGGAGGGACATCACCACGAACCAGCATACAACTGGAAGCCAAATGGTTGGTACCGCCCACCACACAGTACGTGTCAAAAACTGTTAATTGTAATGCAAGCCAGTTAAAATCACTGTCAAGACAGAACATTGCTAACAACCAGAGGCACAACGGTTACCTCCAAGATGTTGTTTTCAAAAAACCGTGGGCCTTCTTTGCTAACAATGGGCTGGTGAACCCATTCTTGGTAAGCTTTCCCCAGATGGCCAACCTAAATAATAATGGATGTCTTCAACGTCATAAAGTATAACATGGCAAGATATGACAAAGCAGATGCTTGTGCTTTAGTGATAAGATCATGTGTAAAATATAGAAAACTTTATTATTAAAATCAAACGAAAGAATGGTAATGATAACATATAACAGTGACTGAAGAGTTTTAAATGGGGCCAAAGGGAAGCTGTTAATGCACGGATCAGATTTGTTAAATTTTGCTGCCATCTCTCAGTGAAAACTTCTCATCATCAATATTATCCAAATCCCAACTAAATAGGGTCAGTTTTATGATTCGTCATTTTCCATCCATTTTTGTTGAGGGTTAGAAAATATTAAAAATGATATTTTTTTTATTAGATTTAAATAAGAATTTGACTCTTCACAGGACAAAATGATGTAGCCGAGACCCCACGTAGGAGGATAAAAGCTTAATGTTGTTGTTATTGCTTGTTAAGTGTTACCTGTGGAGCTAAATTTATTATCATAAATTATTTCAAACAACTTCTATTAATATGACCTTAGGTCTACTACTCCTACCAATTCTTTTGTTACTAATCTTATCTGTAAGTCTAAGGTGCATCTTATACCCTTCATTGTCTATATCCAAATCATTTAAGTTTATTTCTAATTATTTATCCTCAATAAATGTGAGTCTAATCATTCTTTTGATATAATTATTACATAATTTATCCCTATTTGTTTTGCTATACATATATCTCACATTCTAATTTTTAACAAACTCAAACTTAGCTAATTATTCAATCAATTCTCCGAATCCTTTCATTTTTGTTAAGTTCCATACGAGATGTTAATTCTAGTTTAGATGAGATTTTTGTGGTAGAAGATAATGAGATAGAAATAGGAAGAAGTCTACATAATGGACTACCTGGAAAACAAGAGCTTTTCTCAAGTCCACAGTAAACTCATTTGCCACCATCGTCAGGGTATGCGCTAGACTACATAAAGCGAAGAAAAAAGAAGTTACAACATGCATGCAACTGTGACGTGCACTGAAGTACCGAACTAAATAAAGCAAATAAAAAAGTTCAAATATGCAAACAATTATAAGAGCACTAATTCTGTAAGTCGACCAGCATAATTTTTTGGATAAAAAGAAAAAGACTTTCAAATATATAAGCAATGTCCATGAAGAACCTAGACTGGCATGCATGCATGTTTAGTGTAGAACAAAACTTCCTGCCAAAAGGAGATATGGGGAGAGTTTATATGGAAAATAAAAACACGCACCCAATACATGAAGTGTTGTTAACCCTGAACCAACTTAGATGTTCGTTCAGAAAAAAACTATATCATTTCATGACGACCAGTTAACAGCATCAAGACCTTGACCAATTGCCAGATCAAAGGAATTACTATTCTATGAATGAATAAAAGATGGATAGAGAGAAGAAATAAATATATAGATGCGGTTTAACAATTTAACAACTATTTTTACTATAAACTACGCTTTTTTTATTTTATTTTTTAAAGAGAAAAGATGATGAAGAGTCGTGTTTGCTAATTGAAAATAACCAAAGTTTGAAGCAAATGACAAACAGGACATCAAAACTGAATCTTGCAAGAGCTACAATCCAACAACAAAAGAATAATTGCTTCGAGTTATTCAACATTCCCCAGCACAAATCAACCAAACGCCTTATGCTTTTGGATCTAATACATTGCAGAAATTCATTTTGAGGGCACCAAGAACCGAAATCTCTTACACCTGCATTGGGTTCTCAAAAATCCAGTTAGAATGATACAGACCACAACGCATGCACAACTCCTAAAATTGCTAAGAAACATAAGGCATCTAGACCAATAGCAAGCGGACTGAACTGAACTGAGCCCACCTTGAATTGGACTAATGATTGGTCATCCCCTACCTCACACAATATAACCTAAGCGTGCAATGGGGTCCTCTCACCTCATATGTCAAACAATCAACAATAGACTTGATGCATCTTGGAAGTAAAAACAGCAAGAGAACAAGCAAAAAACTATAGGAACTGGCATGAAGATAGGGACTGATTTTTTATTATTTCTTCAACAAAAAAAAAGATACATCATACGAGTGATCTAACATTCGAGAGGTAGATCGGCTCTCCCACAAACCATAGACGCCACTAGGAAACTCACAAGAAAGAAACTACAGTTAAAAATAATTTGCACACCTGGAAAATAATACATAGTTAGCCCTAAATAGGCTCCCCTACTTCCCTCCCAAATCAGTCACCTTTCATTAATTAATTCCCTCTCAATTTTGAACTATTTCCCTAAATAATTCCCTCTAAATTATCATAAAAACCTTTCTAATTATCTCTCCCTATATGTCTCCTTCTTACATAGTGCATTATATTTTTCTTGGACCCCACAAGGGGGGTCGAATCCTCATACCACGTAACAGAATCTTCCGTGCACCTGATTGAAATAAGCAATAGGCCTATGATCCTACATGAGCACCGTCCATAATCTGTATCCTGATGCATTTGTCTCCACCACAAATGGTCTGCTGAAGTTTGGAAGTGCTAACACTGGCATGCTAGTCATGGCCTTCTTCAACTGCTCGAAGACCTTTGTCGATGCTTCCCCCCAATTGAAATTGTCCTTCTTCAGCTGCTCTATAAGTGGCCATGCTATCGTGCCATACTCTCGCACAATCATCCGATAGCATCCGATGAGGCCTAAGAACCCTCTCAATGTCTTCAGGTTCTTAGGTAAAGGCCAGTCCAACATAGCCTCAATCTTGAACTAGTCTGCTACTACCCCTGCTCTGCTCACGACATGCCCTAGGTACTCCACTTGTGGTTATGCAAAAGAACATTTCTTCATGTTAGCATATAGTTGGTGCTCCATCAAAGTCTCTAGTACAATCCTCAGGTGACCCACATGTTCTGCCTCAATACAACTGTAAATCAAGATGTCATAAAAAAAAATATCAAGACGAACTTTTTAAGTTAGGTTTGGAAAATCCAGCTCATTAGGGGCTAAAAAGTGCTTGAGGCGTTGATAAGGTCGAAAGGTAGCACCAAAAACTCGTAGTGACCCTAATGAGTCCAGAAAGTTGTCTTGTGTACATCCCCAAGCTTCATTCTGATCTGGTGGTACTCTGACTTCAGGTCAATCTTTGAGAAAATGACCGCTCCAAACAGCTCATCCAAGAGTCCATCGATTACAGGGATAGGAAATCTGTCCAGCGCCATTTCCTTGTTCAGGGCCCTATAATCCACGTAAAATTTCCAGCTATCATCCTTCTTTTTCACTAGTAAAACTGGACTGAAAAAGGGGTTCACACTGGGCCTGATAATCCCTGCCTCCAGCATCTCCTTGATGAGTCCCTCTATCTTATCCTTCTGAATCTATGGGTACTGGTACGATCATGCATTGATAGAGGAAGCTCCCTCCCTCAAGGTAATAGCGTGCTCGTGCTCCCAGGGTGGTGGTAATCTGCTAAGCTATTAAAAAACCCCATAAAATTGCTGCAAAAGTTGATGTAAACACTCCAGAACTTTATCTGCCTCTGCATCTCGAATCCCTTCCAAACTCTACAGCTCTACCAAGTATCCCAGCCCTGCTTCATGTATCGCCTTGACCATGATTTTAAGTGAAGCCATAGTCTGCATGAACTAACATCACCTTCTTCTCTTCCACCTGAATCTCCATGATTAAGGACTTCCAGTCCACCTTGGTCTCCTTGATCTTCTGTAACCACTTCATCTCTAAGATCACATTAGTGCTCCCCAAATCCAAGGGAAGAAAATCTTCCACTATCTCTATGCACTGAAGTGCCAACACCAACCTCCTATAAATCTGATAGGAAATGCTAGTATTCACAAGCAAACCTAACCCAAATCAAGTATCAAACAAAGAAAACTGCTGTCCACAGCACGAAAACAGCCCAAACAATGGAAAATCTGAGAGAAACGTAGGAAAACAATTGTAAACACTTGTATTCCACTAGTAGATGCAAACAACAAGCAAGATACAATTTTCCTTCAATTCGAGAGGAAGGAAAAACTCTCCACTATCTCCGGCAACGCCGAGAGCCCAAAACAAACCCTAGATCTCAAAGAGAAAACTCAAATTCAAGATGAGGAACCAATTCCCCCCCCCCATCTCCTAATTATACAAATTAATCATAAAGGACAATAATGAACTTCCTAAAACAGCCCCTCATTCAAAAATCTCCCTCCCAAGTTCAATTTAAGCAAGCGTGGGGTCCACATGGGGGTTTCGCCCCTTTCCCTGTTTCCGCCTGGCATAGCATCGGACCGGTCCAATGGGGATCAGTCCACTCGTAACAAAATGCCCCTACTCTTTACCTTACTCGTTCCCATCATGACTCCAAAGCCCCCTGTATCCACTAACTTCAATCCTAACTGGTCCACGACCCGGTTGGAGATGAAGTTATGAGTAGCCCTGCTAGCCCTGCTATCCACCAAGACCACCACTGGCAGCTCCCCGATATGTCCCATCACCTTCATGGTGTGATTTGGAGTAAATTCCACCACATAATTTAGAGACACCTCCGCCACATCAAGGTATAGGTGCTCACTTCCTTCTTCTGCTTCCACCACCAGGTCCTCACTGTCAGTCTATTCCTCCTCACAAACCAAAAGGACCTGGAGTGTGTAGTTCTCGCACTGATGGCTTGGTGCATACTTCTCATCACAACGAAAGCATAGACCTCCGCCTTTATGATACACTTGAAATTGGCCCCAAGGTGCCACCCACCCGGCCCCAAGGTGACCCCCCCCCCCTCCCCACACACACACTCTCTCTCTCTTCTCCCTTGGTGCCTCTAGCTGAAATGATACTGTCTCGGTGCCAATGAAGTTGAGGTACTTCTATAAGAGCCTCCTGCAACCCCACTCTTACTACTTCTCTCCATCTGCCTCCAATCCTCTATTATATGTGCTAGCCCCATTGTCTCCTTCAACCACCTCATCCTTAGCAATCGAATGTCAACTCGTATGTTGGGCTTGAGGCTCTTCATGGAATTTTCTCTAAAATCGCCTCTGAAATTCCGCTCAACCTTTCTGACAACAACACAAATCTCTCCATGTACTCCATGACAGTCCCCTCCTGAGTTAATGCAAGGAATTGCTTTTGTAGGTCTCCTTCATGGATGGCTCGGAAATGTTCCAACAAGCAATCCATAAAATCTTCCCATGAACAGATCGGATATATGGCATCTCTCCACTGGAACCAAACGAGTGCTTTCCCCTCTAGACATAACCTTGCAACTGTAAGGTTCTCCTCCTCTCTCAACCCATTCACCGCAAAATATCTTTCCACTCGGTATACCCACCCATGGGCATCCTCTCCTTCAAACATTGGAATCTTCAGCTTCATCACCTTCACTTCCCCACCCCAACTTCTTCTTCTGCCACTGGTTCCCCCCATGTAACGAGGGTGGGAATCCCAACTTTCTTCTATAAGCCTCCTATGATCCGATTCTCATGGCTTGGTTCGTCCACCTCCTTCCCTGGTTATCCATTCCCCTTGCCCAAGTGGCCTTCCAAAGTAGTTGATCACTTCACCACCCCTGCCATAAAACTCCCTTCTTGTTGCCCCTCTATCCGGAACTCCTGATTCGTCTTTTATCAGAGCCCAAAGAGGTCGTTCTTGATGAAAGAAGCTTTTTTCTATGAACGCTCTCCCCTTAGTTGCGGTCAAGGGAATCCCGATTGATTCTAAATTAGGGCTAGCAGTTGAAACACCCCGGTGAAGTTTTGTTTGCATCTCCAAGAGCTTCCTTAACATCTCATTTACCCCTCCAAATCAATTTTTCATATGGTTGTCCATGGATAAAAACCTTCCTTACATGGTTGAGAACTTCTCCTCCACGCCAGATTTGAATTGCTCCACCTCGTCTTTCAAAGCATCCACCTACTTTGTTGCCATTATCTCCAAAAAAACCTCACTCTAATACCAATTTGATGCGTCTTGGAAGTAAAAAGAGCAAGAGAACAAGTAGAAAAATGTATGAACTTGAAGATAGGGACTGATTTTTTATTATTTCTTCAACAAGAAATAAAGATACAAGTGATCTGCTATTCGAGAGGTAGATCGACTCTCCCACAAACCCTAGACACCACTAGGAAACTCACAAGAAAGAAACTACAGTAGAAAAACAATTTGTATACCCTGAAAATAATACATAGTTAGTCTTAAATAAGCTCCCTACTTCCCTCCCAAATCAACCTCCTTTCCTTAATTAATTCTCTCTCAATTTCAAACTCTTTCACTAATAATTTCCTCCCAATTATCATAAAAATCTTCCTAATTATCTCTCCCTAGATTTCTCCTTACATAATGCATTATAGTTTTTGTGGACCCAACAAGGAGGGCCGAATCCTCCCTGCAGGTAACAGAATCTTCCCTGCACGTAACAGGCCCCTACAAGAAGCATGGTCAGCATAACGAACAAGCCTATTGACATGATCAATGCCAGTGAGGCTAGCGTTATAAATTAAAAATTTTAACTCCTTTTTCCCAATATTAAAGGATTTTTTTGTGCATTCATTGGGCAACATCGACATCATTGCCATGACCCTAAGGGGCAGAGGTCCCTTGATTGTATGGTGAGACTACGTCCATCATAATCCAAAATGCCTGAAATAAAAAACCGCAGAATCCAAGAAGCAGATAAATGTCAACCGAAAAACAGAGAATAGAAAAAAATAACCCGCAAACACAAAACTCAAGGTGAAAGCATGGCCAGATCTTCCTTCCCATCCATTAATGTTGAAATAAAACCCTGCGATGCCTCCACTTCCTCCCAACTATCTCCCCATCCAATTCCATAAGAAAAACCGCTGTAGAATCAGCAATGCCGCCATCAAAACCCCTCCAAGAGCTAACTCAGACACCTAAACAAGCAAGAAGAATGCGAAATCCTGCTCATTACATAACAGAGAAGCATTTACGAACCTCAAAGGAAGGGCGCCGCTTCGTCTGCGCCTCAATCCAAAAGCGCTCTTGTAACCCGCCGACTTCTTCTTGGAGAGGAAGAGAAGGGAGGCTGCCAGAAAGCGAGCGACAGCCCTACTATAAATGTGCTCGGATAGTTTTACATCACATCATGATATTTAAATCATTTCAAAAATATCACTATCATTCATTTATCTTATAAATAAAAATATTTTCTGATTAATATTTCTGCCAAATATTATTATTAAGTAAATATAATAATTTATGTATATAATAAGAATTATAGGCTGTAAATCCTCCAATTTTCTTTACAAAATAATGAAATATAAATATATTTTACTTATTGTAATTTATTGTATCATAAAAAAACTTAATATTTCTACCAAATGTTATTATTAAGTAAATATAATAATTTATGTATATAATAAGAATTATAGGCTGTAAATCCTCCAATTTTCTTTACAAAATAATGAAATATAAATATATTTTACTTATTGTAATTTATTGTATCATAAAAAAACTCTTACATTGTTATTAACCATCTTTTATGTATTATAATATTTACTTTAATAGAAAATAATGTATCAAATTAGTATTTAACAAAAAATTTGAATGCATGCAAATAAATTAAGAGAACCTTCTAAGAGACGAGATATTTTTTACATAAAAATTTGTGAAGTGAACAAATCATGAGTTCTATCTAATTTGAAATGATTCAACTAAATATGAGTAGTACATCACAAAATGATGTCCTCCATATCTATAGCTTGCATTAATACAAGTTATTAGACGTATACTAAATAAAATATTTGAAGTTGTGGCATTAGGACTTGGTTGTTCTCTTGATAGAATAAGAGATCAAGTGGCAGTTAAGTTGTATGTCAAATATCAGTTATTGGTAGCATCAGACGACAATCAATAAACAATGTCAAAAGTCAAGCCCTATTAGGCAATCAATTTGTTGCTTTCCATTATGATAAGTGGAGATAGTTGACCAAGAAGATGAGTATTGGACTTCAGACATCTAAGGCCAAAGGAATTAAAACTTCAAATGATTATTAACCACGAACATTAGAGATTATATGACATCAGGTGGTTAACTCAGACATTCTTGTTATTGGAGAAGAGATCGAAAAAACATGAAGACATACAACACATATCAATGGTTGGTGGATGTTGATCTTTGGGTTATCAGTTTCATTAGTATTCTTATGGGATGGGAAATCGAGCAACTAGTGATATAGTCATCAAACATCTATTTTTATTCTTTAGTATACGTCTAACTTTGTTGTACACTTAGGCGTGGGGAAAGGGTTGAGAAATGAGTCTCAAATGTTAGAAATTGATGGTTGATGTACATCAAATGCCCAAATGCCAGTCAATCTTGACCATCAAACGTTTGGAGACATCATTCTTCTTATAGAATGCTAGATCGTACGACCAAAATACATATGTCAAGTGTGGGTGAATGTTGTATGTTAGACCACGATCGTTGGTATGAGTCAGACAATAATTGATTGAGAATATGAATCATTGAAAATATATGTTCGATCATTATTTTCATAGAATGGGAGACCATGTGACTAAGAAAACATACATCAATTATCAATAGTTAAATGAACAATGAATGTTTGTGGGCATCAAGTGATTGTTTCATTTGTTCCCCTTATAGAATAAATATTTGAGCAACCAAAAAGATGGGAGTCTAACATTATTATATGATGGATGTTAAATGATGTTGGGAATCAACATTTATTGATAGGAAATATTAGAAGACTGGCGATATTGGGCGATTGAAACAATATTTCTATTTATATGATGGGAAACTAGGAAACTATGAAGACTAGTATTTATTGCTAATGAATGGTGAACATTGGATGTTGGTCTTTGGTAAGGGTAAAAACATGTTCAATGATGAACATCAAAGGATGAATGATGTCATAAAGCTAATCCCACATAACATAATAAAGGCTTGATATTGTTGTTGTTAATGATGAACATCATATGATGGGCGATGTGATGAAATTAATATGGTCGCTCTCATTATAAGATGAGAAATTGACAATTTGAAAATGAGTGTTAAACATCAAATATCAGTTAACATCATAGGATCTATCACTTCCCTTATATGAAGGTGATTGAGTTGCCAAGAAGACTTGTTATACATCAATGAATGGCGAATGTCAAATGTTCACATGCATTAGGATATAATTGACATGAAATGTTAAATATTGAGGGATGTCAAGCAGTCGATTATGTAATTCTCGTCATAGGACGATATAGCGAGAAACCAAGAAGATGAGTGCATTATGTTGATGTCTGGTGCATGTTGCATGTGTTGTGTGTGGTATCAATTATGGTCACCAATCAATGTTGAGACAAGGCAACAACAAGCATCAACATTGGTTGATGTCATATGTTGTACAATGACAATAAGAGTTTTAAAATTCTTTCCAAGTATTTTCTCCACAAAAAATTCTCCCTTAAATCTACATGAATATGAGGTATTTATATATTTCATTTCGGCATGAAGTATTTTGGTCATTTTTATCATATAAAAGAATACTTTTTCTGATGAGCTAAATAGAAACCCCTTGATTGTTATAAGCTTTTTGAGAAGGTACTAAATTTTTAAGTTTGTTTAAGACAATTTTCTTATTATTTTTTAAAGCAATTTTTTAATACAACAATTTTTTAAACTATAAATTTTTGCATTAAAATATTGATTTAAAAAGCAATAAGAAAATCATCTCAAATCAAGCCCTAAATATGTAGGTGCTTTGAGAACTAAAATTCATATTTAATGAAATAAACTTTTGATGGCATATACAATCAAATATATAATGTAAGCCTTTAAAAAATACATTTTAGCTGAGTTATTTATATTTAAATTTACATTTCTTCTTATGATTTAATGATCATTTTTAAAAAATCATTAGACATTTAAATTTATGATGATTTTGCTCACCAACTGCATATTAAATTTGAGAATATTTAACTAAAAGTCATAACTTTTCCGCTCATTTAAAATATTATTGATTACTCTCCCTAGATTCGTCGGTGGAGGCTTTAGCTTTGAAGAAGGTTAAGGTGAAAAGGATAATTGAGGGTTAGGCAGCAAATACACATACGAAGGCAAATAAAGGGCTATTTTTTGGAACTCTCAATGCCACCACTGCGACAGGATAAATTATTTGAGGTAGAGTAAGATTCGGATGATGCGTATTTATTGTTTATTTTCCTGCGTATTTTTATACATAATTTTTTCTACTTTCAAATTATTTGACATATACGTGGAAAAAATTATGTATAAAAATACACAGTAAAATAAGTAATGAATACGCAGCATCCGAATCTTACTCTACGTTCGGATTGCGCACATAATAATTTCTCTTGCGACAGAGCTGAAGGATTGAAGATTTATTTGGCATATCATTAAAAAAAAAACTTGGAACGCAAGTGGTACTTGTTAGAAAAAGATGACGATTAAAATTTAGTTTCGGATAGCTTGTTTTGCAGCTTATCAAAACAGTTTTTTTAATATAAAAATTAAAAAGCTTGTACTAAAAAACTGTTTTACGAAACAATAAAAAAGCCGTCCCAAACGAAGTCTAAGTTTTCATTCGGGACAACTTTTTTTCTGTTTCTTAAAGTAACTTTTTAGGCCAAAAATTAAAATTTTTATACTAGAAGCTGCTTCATTAAGAAAACCATCCAAACGATACCTAAAATTTCATTTGAGACACCTTTCTTTATGCTTCTTAAAATAAATTTTTATATAAAAATTTTAATTTTTAAACTCGAAACCTACTTATAAATAAAAAGTTTTGAGTTCTACTTAAATTTTTTTATCCAAAAAAGCGTGCAAACATTTAAGCTTGACTGAATTAGTTTCAAAAATCACATCAAGAATGAATGAATGCCAGCATATATTAGTCCTAAATTAGGATTTTAGGCTGACACAAAAAGGAATTTGAGCCAAAGAGCACATGAAAAGCTTGGTCACAACAAACTACAATTCAAGGATTAATTATTCTATGCGGACGTCAAAAGCCATCCAAAGACCAATCAGAATACGTCATATCACCCCTTCACTCGATATCGCTGATGTGACATATTCTAATTGACCTTCAGACATTATTCTACGTCCCGCCTCCTCACAAATTATCAAGGCATCTTTACAGGCCCTTAAAATTTAATAGCAAAATAATCAGATCTACCAAATGAGATAGATGGGCTTCTAGAATGGCCAAAATAATTCTCTTATAATCCAACAGGAATAGGTGAAATTACCATTCTAACCTTACGCTTATTATAGGAACGAATGGCTAAAAGGATTTAAAAGTAATTCCATCCATTTGGTCAGAATCTTCAGCAAAATTATCATTTTTCCTACCAAATATAAAAACAGCCAATAAATAACTTCAGAAAGAGCATCAGTAAGTAAAAATAATACATCATAACCAATAAATAACTCAAACAAATTTAAGCACATCAATAGTTTTCAAATTTCAGCAATGTAGTTATAAGCAAAATACTCGAAATGAAAGAAAGCCACGAATATAACTGTCAATCAAGCAAAAGCACAAACGCACACGATAAAGATGGCTTTCAAGTTTCAAGAAGAGAAATCAAATCAAACCTAAGTAAACCAAGTAGCTCAGTCAGTTGGCTCCTCTTCCTCATACTCTTCCTCATCAACTGTTGCATCCTGGTACTGCTGGTACTCAGCCACCAGATCATTCATGTTGCTCTCAGCCTCGGTGAACTCCATCTCGTCCATGCCCTCCCCAGTATACCAGTGCAAGAAAGCCTTCCTCCTGAACATGGCGGTGAACTGCTCGCTTACGCGGCGAAACATCTCCTGGATCGAGGTCGAGTTGCCGATGAATGTCGATGCCATCTTCAGTCCCTTCGGCGGGATGTCGCAAACACTGGACTTAACGTTGTTTGGAATCCACTCCACGAAGTATGAGGAGTTCTTGTTCTGGACATTGATGATTTGCTCGTCTACCTCTTTGGTGCTCATCTTGCCGCGGAACATGGCAGAAGCGGTGAGGTAGCGACCGTGGCGAGGGTCGGCAGCGCACATCATGTTTTTAGAGTCCCACATTTGCTGGGTTAGCTCAGGGACAGTGAGGGAACGATACTGCTGAGAGCCTCTGGAGGTCAAGGGGGCAAAGCCCACCATGAAGAAATGGAGACGGGGGAATGGAATGAGGTTGACGGCGAGCTTGCGGAGATCAGAGTTGAGTTGGCCGGGGAATCTCAGGCAGCAAGTAACACCACTCATTGTAGCAGAGATGAGATGATTCAGGTCACCAACTGAGCAGATACAACAAGAGGCGTCAGTAACGTTAAAAAATAATAATAAACTAAGGGGGTGTTTCGTATCAGATTTATCCGTCGTTGTAAATCCAGCCAAACACAATCCACTGGCGAATCTGTAAATCCAGGATTTACGGCATAAATCCGTGTAAATCCTAATCCCATTCCTATTCGGATTTAACATGATTTACAGTTGCGGAACTTCTTCCCGCAGCGCCCGTGTCACGATATGTTGCCAAACAACTTATATGGATTTAACGGTACTTGAAATTTGTCATACCAAACACTATTCAGGATTTATGAGCCTAGGATTTCCTACTAAAATAGGATCCAATCCTAATACCAAACACCTCCTAAGTTCATGGCCTATAATCTGCTAGTAAAAAAAGTCTTTCCAAGCATGTGATTAGTAAAAGGAAACATATAATTTAAGAGATGGATTTCAATCTAAAGGTTGCCAGACCAACACATGCAAATAGATGTCAAAGGACCCATAAAAATGAAATCTAGACTAGTAATCAATTTCAAGATAATTTTGTTTAGCCGGATTGAGAGTTCGACTCCAACAAACTACTTCAAAAAGGGCAAGATTAGAGGCAATCCTTAACAAAACTAAAGAGGCATTTAGTATCCAGCATAGTAAACGATAAAAGATGTGGAAAATGACTTACATGAAGGAGTTGCAAGCTTTAGCGTGCGGAAGCAGATATCATAAAGAGCCTCGTTGTCCAACACCATGCATTCATCAGCGTTCTCAACAAGTTGATGAACAGAAAGGGTTGCATTGTAGGGTTCAACCACAGTGTCTGAAACTTTAGGAGATGGGAAGACAGAAAAGGTCAACATCATGCGATCAGGGTATTCCTCCCTAATCTTAGAGATTAGAAGGGTTCCCATGCCGGATCCAGTTCCACCTCCCAGAGAATGGCACACTTGGAATCCTAAAAAAGCATAAAAGATCAGCTAGCATCAATGCACATTAACAGCTGCTCTTTTTTTGAAGGCCTGATCTCACTATTAGGTGAAAAGTTTGAACAATAATCATTAAATTAAATTTTAAAAAAATTGATAGAAGAAAATTTATAGGCAACACTAGTTCAGAAACCAAATAAACTAGAAATATAGACAAGCGCAGCAATGTAAATGCAGCGACATATTGAGAGAGAGGCTAATACCGTCATTTTGGAGCCATTACCGCAGCTTTTTGATAACATGGTGTACATATTGGACGGCCTTTGGCACATTTTAATAACAGATTTTTATGGTTTTTAAAGCATTGAGATATTTTCGCAGCTTTTAGAGGGCCATAGAAGGCACAAGCTTGGGGGCAATTCTTTCATAACTTGACAACAGAAAATCATGTACCCAAAAAAGCTTCAAAGTTGATTTTAATAAGCTCAATACAGATCAAAATAAATGCAAGCCATAATGTAAATGAAAGATAAGTGAGTGCAAATACAGAGGTAAAGTTGCTGTTGAAATTTTGGACGTCATGCACAACCAAAGCATGCGATTAATTCAACTAGGGAAAAAAGTAACAAAGAATTATTTGATGGCCAGCACTAAGGAGGATAATGCAGGCATGTCAACAGGTCGGACACTCCTACCAGGTTGAAGTTGACCCAGATATGAGCACTTCACCAAAGAAAGGACTAGAAAAAATAAACCCATATCTTACCAACGTAACATCAACCATACAAACATCAAAATGAAGCAATTCTAACTCTTGTGCTCAATTTCTATCAATCTCCAAGTCCAACTCTTGTGCACATATAAACTTAAGTTCATGAATATGATATAATGTAGGTGCATATTCAATTTCAACATCACATAAATTTATATATAACTACTAAATAAAATTAGGCAACTAATACATCCTCAAAAGAAAAGTCATGAACTATAATCTTTTGAATAAAATCAAGTTCAATCATACATAAACTTTACATTAGTATATTTTTAATAGGCTTTAAATGAGATGTCATTGAATCATCGCTACTAATAGGCATAGGTTTTACAATTCTAATATAAAGCTCACAACAGGCATCAATACTCAACGATCAAGATAAAATCTCACTTATTGTTTTCAATGAATTGTAGCTTAGTCCACTCTGAAACTCTCGCCAAAACCTAAAAATGAAACAAGTAGTAATAACAAAAAAGTGTAGAGGAGAATCACGTGCTGCTACAAAATGTCAAATGTGTAAAACTTCCATAATATTCAAACATGTTAGAATTATATCCGTTTACAACTCTTAAATTCATCATGGAATTGGTACCTATATTCATCAAATGATTGATATTGCTTAAGCTTATGTTTTATGCTAACTCATGTTGATTTTGTTTTACTCAAAATTCTTGGGCTCCATTTGGGACAGCTTTTTTATTGTTTCTTAAAGTAACTTTTTAGTACAAAAATTAAATTTCTTGTACTGAAAAGCTGCTTGTTAGGCCAGTTCTTCCTAAACCAGCCCCAAACCCTGAACCGGCCCACCCAGGGCCGGTTTTGGCCTATAGGAGGCGAACTAATACCGCCTCCTCCCCTCTTTGCTTCCCCCAATAGTGGGTCCAACTATTCAAATTAAATCCAAAAGGAGAAAGGAGGGGGCGGCTAGGATTTTTGAGGGAGTTTGGATTTAGAAAGTTTATGTATTAAATAACATGAGGTGTTTTAGGGTTAGGATTATTGCTTTGATTTGTTTCTCTTGAAGTTTCGTTGGCGTCTTGGGCTCTAGACTCCTCGTCTAGAGATTGGGAGAGAACGATCCTCCTCTCGAATTGAGGATCAATTGTATCTTGCTTTGTGTTTGTTTTGCTTTGATTCCATTATTGCAAACTATCGTTTTGGATTGATTTCATCCAAATTTTCGCATTATTCTCGCTGTTTTTACCAATTATTGCTAGGGCTGCTTGCGAACTCAAGTATTTCCTCTTGGATTAGTTGTGAACTCAAGTATTTCCTATCATTGCTTTAAGAAGCAATAAGAAAGCTGTCCCAAACGAAACCTTAGTCAAATAGTTGAGCTAGCTCAACTAATTATGTTGCAACAACTTTAACTTTTTTGGAATCAAAGAAATGGTAATATCCAGAAAAATCTTCCAAACTATTAATCCCTAAGAAATTCCCAAGATTATACCTCCTATCAAAATTAAAAATGAAATTTTGAACCCTGCAACAATTATGTTGTTGGTTATAACCATATTTACTTTGTTTCATTTAAATTGTATCATTATTTCATCTTTAAATTGACCCAGTTAAATTTCTTACTTCTAGCTAGTAAGACGATCGAATCATAAGCTCCGATACCAAGTTGATATAAGACAACTTAGGGTTTTGATTTTTAATGCAACTATAATGATATAATGAATTAAGATCACACAAGTGAACTTGAAGTGCAGAAAACTAAAAATATAAAACATGTTATCCTTAGAAAAAAAAAAGAGAGAATTAAAACCCAAATAAAAATGAAAACATTGAATAAATTTAAAGAAAAAAACAAGAAAATATAACTATGACAAATCAACAAGTAATTGTAATTTATCCACCATAATTAAAATTTAAGATGAAATAAATTGAACAAAATCAGGAACTCTAGGAAAGCCAACAATAAATTATTTACAAGAAACTAATTAATGGAAGAAAATCACCGAAGTAAAACTAAAAATAAAAAATCACGTCAGTATAAGGAGATAACTTCCCTAAAAAATTTTGTTAAATCAATACTCAACTATGACAGCCTTAAGTGTTTCCTATTCAAAGATATTTAGTTCCCTAGTTGGTTGTTTCTTATTAGTTCAATTTAATAACAAAATCGAATCCTCCCAAAACCAAAAGCCAAAATCCCAAAGCAGAAGAAAGCATAACAAAGGAAGTGTGGCCTACTCTGCCAAAGAAGAAACCACATGCAAAAAGACATGGAAAACCACATAATACAAACTACAATCCTGGGGATCTGACAAGCTGCACATTTAATTGCAATAGCCTAGCAGGAATAACATATCTACAAAGTAGGAGATGGATAATGCATCAAAGAATAAGCTATAGTCCCAAGTCCCAACAAAAGAAAACGCATCAAATAGCTAAAAAATAAATTCATATTAAGTTGATATTGGAAAAAACCATTTCAGTAGTAAACAGAGAAAACAATCAATGATAATCCATATCAAGGCTTCAATTGAAAAAGATAATCATGCATCAAAAAGAGTGTTTATTGATGCACGAGGCTGTGGCATTGATATATGCAGGAAATATTAGAAAGACTCCATATGAAGTCCGATCAGGAGAGAATTTGAAAGTCTAAAAAATGTTAGGCTCTTCTAGCAAAAATAGTAAAGGCGGAGGAATGATAATTGCTCGGAGCACGTGATTCTAAAAAAAAAATGATGGGTTAGTTGAACCACCAAGTGATAAAGCAAAAAACAATCTTAAAAAGGAAATAAAATCATTTCTAATTCTAATATGAAGATAGGTTATAAAAATCTTAGATGAATTTAAAACTGTAAGTAATAAATAAAATAACTATAAATTGAAGTTTTATATCAACATTAGCCGTATCCCAATTATCTATGGCCAACTCAATGAATCATCATTTTCCACTCATTCTCATTGAGTGCTTTCTACAGTGTTAGGCCTATTTTCACATATTATTTTGAACCATTTTTATCCATGTTACTTTAAGTCAAAACCTTTATCTTTCCAAGTCATATAATAATAATTTTATCTAGGGGTTAATTGGCGCATTTTCAACAATCATATACATATCCAAACCACCTAAATATATTATTTATAAACTTATTTTCATTGTTTAAAATTGTACAATAAGAGATGTGCATCAGCGCAATTAAAAAAAGGCAATAAAGTGTGCTATTCATTCGGGCGGGCCTGATTACATGTACGCCTTATGAGGCACGCCTCTGTGGCTTTGTGCAATTTGTAAAAGGTGCAAGCCTACAAATTAGGATTTCAATCATTTATAATTTTAAAATATAAAGTTGAATTTATTTTATTATTTATGTACACCTAAACCTCAAACAAATATAATCGATAATTGCACACATTCTCAACTTTCAATCACACACTACGATTGCCCTTGATGTTGCTCGGACTCACAAACAAACGTGATCATTGTTGCCCTCGATGATGCTAGATAAAAATGTTTGAGATCAAAGATGAGGAGGAAGATTGAGAGAGTGTTAACACAACCGAGGATGATGGAAGAGAACAAACAGTTCACTATAATAATGATTCAAATTAAAACCACAACATGATGAGAAAGGAGAGACTTTTGAATTTTTAAATTATTATCTTATTGACTTAAACTATTTATTTATGTTGAATTGAAAATATGAGAGGCTTATTGCTATGATCTTATTTTGACCGATTATTATCTTACTTCAATATATTTCTTTGACGTCGGTATGTTACTTATTATTTCATATTTTGTCATTTTAGTTGTTTAATTCTAAGACTTACACTTTCATATGTGATTGCACAATTTCAAACATTTCTTGTCTACTCTATTTGTTACTCTAAAATAATCAATTCAAACTCATCTTTTCTAATTTTCCATACATATGTTTTAGCATTATCATTTTAATCATGCTCGGTCCAGATAACAAGAAATTTTTTTGCTGCCCAACCCGCAGATCCATGCATCATAACATAGTCAATGTGATTTTATAAAATTATCTTTAGGCCTCTATGATATCATCTTATCTCATAATACTCTTGAGGCAAATACTCCAATTTAACCATCCAACTTTTAACACAAGAAATCTGTGCATAATTTAAAATATATCAAAATTTTAAAATTAAGTGCACTTTGCACAAAAGCATATTTACTAATTTTCAGAATATGTAACCCGCGGATGATTAGACTCCATCGGAAGAGTCAGCTTACCCTTGAAAACCAAATAAATCTAAGCCAAAATCCATAGTAATATATCGTTAGGGATATCCTAAGAAAATAAACGCATAAAATAAAGACTGCCCTATTTCAAAGTACTACCCCATTCAGAGCAAACAGTCCCCTCTAACGAAATATATAAACCCCAAGAAGAGAGCAATAACGGAACAAACAGTGGCAAACCTAAGGGAACCCCCCTACATCCCATTCCAAAGCTCAAATCCCTTTACCTTGCAAGCAGTCGCAATTCTCGGCCTCCTTCCTCACCACATCCAGAACAGCATCGATGAGCTCAGCGCCCTCTGTGTAGTGTCCTTTTGCCCAATTGTTGCCCGCACCAGACTGTCCAAACACAAAGTTATCTGGCCGGAATATTTGCCCGTACGGCCCAGATCTCAAGGAATCCATGGTCCCCGGCTCAAGGTCCATAAGCACCGCCCTGGGTACGTACCTCCCACCGCTGGCCTCATTGTAGTATACATTGACCCGCTCAAGCTGGAGATCGGAATCTCCACTGTATTTTCCGGAGCGGTCGATCCCGTGCTCGTCGCAGATCACCTCCCAGAACTTGGCCCCGATCTGGTTGCCGCACTGCCCGCCCTGTATATGGAGGATCTCTCTCATCTCAGCTTCTTCTTCAAAAGAGATCCGGTTTGCAAGTTAGGGCTCCGGCCGGCAACTGATGAGGGAGGAGAAAAGAATGAGGCAGACTCCTAGATTGGAGCCGGGAGAGAGTTTTATGCCAGGACGATAAGATGGCGGTGAAATGAACCAATGATGACCGCTAATTTTAACTGGAGAGGGACCGACGGACCGGGTCCTTCTAAGTCGCAAGGCGGTGACGGTAAACTGGGTTAATTCCTCGCTGGACTGGGTTGTCACGAGTGTAAGATATTTTGCTTGTTTGATATTTCGTATTTTAATTAACATTTTTTATAAATTTCTGAACATTTAAAACAAACCTAACCGTTCTCATTAGGATTGCCAAATGTCTGATAACAGCATTTTTTTTTTTTTAATTCATAGTATTTGAAGAATACTGAAGGTCATAGATTTGAGTTTTTTACTTATAAATAGGTAATAGAAGAGAGTAATATATTAAATAAATAAATATAAACATCATTAATAATGAAAATGAATATTTATGACTATAAATATTAGATGCGCTTTTTATATTTTATATGAAAATGAATATTTATGAATCTAACACGTGTAATAATACTTTCTAGCGAAATTATGAATTTTATTGTATGTTAGAATATTTATGATTATAGAAAAAAAAAATTTTTTTTTGACCTGCAATGTTGATACGTCCTCCAAAAATTATCTTGATCATGCACGGATCTCGATGCAAAATCAAGTTGAAAACTTCCAAAATTAATTCGGAGACCATCTCAACTCCGATTTCAGCAAACTTATAGTCGAACTAAGCGTCTCGAAAACGAACCCAACGACACCAAATTCAACCCAATCCGAGCCCAAATGGGTCCAAATCAAGGACCCGAAGCATTGTTGGAAGGTTCAAACCACAATTTGTATTACCAAACATAACAAGCTTATAGTCGAATCGAGCGGTTCGACGAGACGAATCCAATGAGCCAAAGATCGCTGAATTCCGATAACATTAAGACCTTCAAATATCTGACAAACGGTATATGATCAAGGGATTCAATATCGGTCGTCCATTGAACCACTCAACATTTATCCCTGATCTCTCACCTATTTACAGGCCATGCCACTCCATAAATTTATAAATAGACCCCTCATTTCTCTTAAGAGGAGGACCGGAGCAAGAAGAGAATAAGAGAAGAGAAGGAAGAAGCTCCTCCTCAGCCACCGCCAGAGTTTCGCCTGACCACCGTCGGACCTTCATCGGATCACCACATGAGGCCCTCACCTCCACCGGACCACCGCATGACAGCATTGCTTATTTGGACCACCACTTGAGGCCCTCACCTTCGCTGAACTACCACTTGAGGCCATCCACATTTGCCAGACCATCGCCTGGCGTCGTTGCTCTGCCGGACCACCGCCTGATGTCGTTGCTCCGCAGGACCACCACTTGAGGCCCTCACCTCCGCCAGACCACCGCCTGACGCCGTTGCTCCTCCGGACCACCACTTGATGCCCTCACATTCGCCGGACCACTACTTGAGGCCCTCACCTTCGTCGGACCACCACTTGAGGCCCTCACCTCCGTTGGACCACCGCCTGACGTCGTTGCTCCGCCGGATCACTACTTGAGGCCCTCACCTCCGTCGAACCACCGCTTGACGTCGTTGCTCCGCCGGAACACCACTTGAGGCCCTCACCTTCTCCGGACCACCACTTGAGACCCTCACCTCCGCCGTACCGCCGTCTGATGCCTTTGCTCCGCCAGACCACCACTTGAGGCCCTCACCTTCGCCGGACCACCGCTTGACGCCATTGCTCCGTCGGACCACCACTTGAGACCCTCACCTTTGCCGGACCACCACTTGAGGCGCTCACCTCCGCCGAACCACCGCCTCATATCGTTGCTCCGCCGGACCACCACTTGAGGCCCTCACCTCCACCGAACCATCACTTGATGTCATTGCTCCGTCAAACCACCATTTGAGGCCCTGTGCTCCACCAGGACACCACCTAACCCCCGAACTTCTACCGAAGTACCGCCCTCCTACTACAGTTTTTCAGACCCTGGTCTGTTGCCAACTACGATCTTTCTAAACCCCGGTCACCTGCCGACTACGGTCCTTTTGGCCTCTGTCACCTATAATGGTCCTTCCGACCTCCATCACCAGACAATGGTCTTTCTGACCTTTGTGTCGTGCCGACTACGGTCCTTCCAACCTGCATCACCTACTATAGTCCTTTTGACCTCCATCGCCAGACAATGGTCTTTCCAGTCTCCAACCTATCGACTATGGTCGTGCCGACCATACAAACATATCTATGTTGATTATTGTAACTCCCACCTTGTAATGCACTCTATATGATGTATATTTGTGACATCAAGCCAAGGCCTTCTCCTAAGGAAGGACCTTATTTGTAATCGATTGTATATACTAGTGGATTCATTCAAACTGGGCCAGGCCCTGTGGTTTTTCCCCCTTTTCAGGGGTTTTCCACGTAAAAGCTCTGGTGTCTCTTATGAATGCTGCACCTTCTCACTTATCTAATTGTGTGTTGGATCTCCTTACAATGCTAAGACGTCAAACTATAATATTTTTTTACCGTCGCGAATACTGCAGGACACAACAATAGTGCATAATGTTGGCCATTAAAAGTGAAGCATAATATTAAGTTAAGTGTCACATAGATGAAGATAGTCAGGTGGATGAGTGACTTTACTCTTAGAGATAGGATACATAATGAGCATATACGTGAAAAGGTTGGAGTAGCTCCAGTGGAAGATATGATTAGAGACAGTCGCCTTAGATGGTTTGGTCACATAAAACAGAGACTTTCCAATTACCCGATTAGAAAAGTAGATGTAGTAGATTTGAATTGTGTTGAAAGAGGTAGAAGTAGACCAAAAAATATCTGGTTAGAAAATATTAGAAATCACATTTATTCATTAGATTTAGATGATAATTTAACTCTTAAGATATAGTGGAGAAAAAGGGTTTCATGTAGCTAACCTCATATAGTGGGATAACGACTTGTTGTTGTTAAAAAAAAGTTAATTTTTTAATATTGCAAAGAGTTTTAATACACATTAAAAATAAGCTTAGAATGGCCTGTACGATACATGAGATTTGTTTATATAAAAATACTTGAAAGGGAACTACTATTGGGTCTAACTAGTTGATAATATTCCATTACAATAAGTCCTATAATAAAAAAATTGTTGTTCCACTTCATTTGAAAGACATTCATATATTGCAATATATGTGAACTATAAATATGAGTTTCATTGTCAATATAAAAATTGTGGGGTATTTGAGTTTGTCATCAAGAGATATTTAATATTATATTTAGTCATTCTTCTTATAGGAGAGGAGATCATTAATCAATAAAGCGGGCACATGCCTTAGTAAAAATGATAGGCATTGATGTTAATGTGGACGATATCCCTTGAGCTTGTGAAGATAGCACTCATCAATTTTATTGGTGATGATAGCATAAATATTGGTATTAATAGTGTCTGTTAGTCTTATTGGCGATAACCGACGTCAATGTTGATGTTGATAGTGAGCGTCGATGATGTGTATCAATCATGTCGGTGATGTTTTAGAATAAATTTGTAATAAAAAAATTTAATAAATTTGTAACAACACAAAAAACATAACCCATTTATTGATAAAAATTTAACAGTATTATGGATAATAAGTATATGGATTAACAATGAAAAAAGAGGGCATCTTGATGCAAACTCTATATGAAGTTAGGTTAAATATTGAGTCAGTGAGGTAGTTAGCAGCAAGAGAGACCCATATATATTTGAGATATTTTGATCAATTAAGTCAAATTCACATATATTATATAAGTAAGAATCGAATCTAAGATCTCTTGATAGATAATCAAAGCTCATAACCAACAGATTAAGATGAATTGGATCCATTTGATGCGTATGATAGAAGGTTTATAATAGTAAGCTAGTAGCCATATGTGTACAACAACAACAACATTAAGCATTTGTCCCACTACGTGGGGTCGCTACATGAATCTTTTTTTTCCATTGTGTCATGTTAATAGTCAAATTCTCATTGAAATATAATAAATAAAGATCATTTCTAATATCTTTTTATCAAATTTTTTTAGGTTTGCCTCTGCATTTCTTAATATAAGTCAAATATAATACTTATACTTACCTAATTGGGTCATTTGAAGGCCGTCATTTTATGTGACCAAACCATCTAAGGCGACTCTCTCGATTCTTATCTTCCACTGGAGCTACTCCTAACTTTTCACATATATGTTCACTTTGTATATTGTTTCTAAGGGTAAAACCACTCATCCACATGAGCATCCTATTTTTGCAACACGATTAATTATTATGTGCGGACGTCGAATATCGTCCAGAGACCAACTAGAATGCGTCACGTCACCCCTATGCTCGATATTGCTCGATACTGCTCGACATAAGAGTGACTTGGAACATTCATATTGATTTCTAGACGATGTTTCTGCATCCGATCTGCACAAAATAATTTCTTCTGAAGCACAACAGGTAGCACTAAAGAAAAAAAAATGGCTTTAACTGTACAAAAGGTGTCCCAAAAAAAATAATTAAAAAATGTCCCAAAACTGTACAAAAGGTTCTGTTGAATCATGGATCTCTAATCCGATCGGACGGTCTCAAAGCATACAACTGGCAAATCGACAGATGATCACCCGCAAAATTTTATGGAGGCTGAAGAGAAGGGAAAACAAATCAGCAGTGTCCTCAAACACTGCGGAAAAACAACGCCATCGCTTTACTTTCTCATTGTCCTCCTGCTTCTCCAAGTCTTCTCCATTTCTTTACACTTCTTTTATCGATCGCCAAACCTATCCTCATTCCGATAGCAAATCCGAGGGCCTGAGGATGTGCAGCGACTCCTCCTTGTTGTAAGCAGAGCTACAGCAGTCTACGACATCATCTTCTCCAAATTCTCTGAAGAAGATCTATCGGGCCACATAGACGTTTCGGAATGGCACTCCTCCGATCCTATGTAAACTACTGTTTTTCTCTTTTGCATGATCAGCGTTGGTTGATCGGGTTGTGATCTTGCTTCCCGGCAGGATCGCGTTTGCTTAGCGGGGTTTTATTCTGGTTGGTGGTTATTGTGGTGCAATTTGTGTTCTTCGGTTGGCTTTGGACCGGTTCGATCTTATTTGATGTTGGTTTATTGTGTTTTTTAATCCACTTCATCGCGCTTTACCTTTTTTTTTGTCTGATCGGACTTTTTCAGCGCTGATGTTTTGTTGACGGAGCCTGGGTTTCTTCTGTTTTTGCCACTTGCAAAATCACTTGCGGGATTATTTTATGAGGATGACCTTTGATTTTCCTGATGCTGAAATGATTTGAGATAGTTAGTGGATACACGTGGTCTGGATGCTGGAAGAGCTTGCAGCGCCACGATGTTGTGGCTGATGATTTATCGTAGCTTTGTTGCCTTGGTGCCATGTGGGCTGATGCTAAGAGAAAGCTAATTGAGCCTGTCTTGGTTCGGGGATTCCTTAGAACCAATTTCTGCCTTAGATTTCATTGTTTGACGACTTATTGGAATGTTAATACTCATGGACCCATGGTTGGCCTGTTCAGTTGAAAGCAGAATTTAGCAAATCCTGATTTGATAAATCATATTCATTTGGGTTATAATAGAATTTAACATATTCTTTTTATAGACCTGTTTGGTTGCCAAGTTTTAAATCCAAACAAATCTCTAGATTGTTTGGTTGCTGATTTAAAGGTTTGGGGAAGCTGAAGAGGTTTCATAAATCTTGCTAAACTAAATCATTTTAAAGATATTTCCTCCATGATTTGAGAAATCCTGGATTTGAACAGAGATTTATTAAGTTCTACTAAATCAAGGATTTATTTTAGGCTGGATTTGATTACCTTCTATATGACATTTTGAAAAGTTTTTTGATAATTGTTCTTAAGCTACTTGAAGTGGCCAACATGCTGCCCTAGTAAACTAAGATGGGAATAAGGCATATCCCATGATGGCTTATACAAAAGGGCATACTTAATGAATTAGCCAGGGTCTAATGAGTGGTTGTTGTATGCAGTCTCTCCATGCATTTTAGAGATGATTTATGCAGTCATTTCAATGTTCCAATATTTTGGGATTTTTAGGAATAAAAGGCTCGAATAGTTTTCAAGTTAATTAAAGGTTGAATGTTGCTGTTGAAGGTGGTATTTTGTGTTTGATTTCTTTCCAATGAAGGGAGTGGGAGGATTTATAAAGCCAACCTCAAATGGTTGGGATAAAGCTAATTATGAGGATGATTTCCTATTGAATGTGTGATGTTTATCTTTTTAGCCATTGTTTATAATGTAATAGTACCGTTCCTTTATGACATGCACTTTTATTTGATGTTGAATGTTTTATATGAGCAATGTATAATCCCAATATGTTATGTTCTTTGGTGTTTTTTATTTTCTGAGGTTTTATGAGTTTGATGTGAGGATCAAATTTGTTATGTCTTCTCATTTTGGACTTTATTTGATTCCAAATTGGATTTTTAACACAAGGGTGTTCTTTGCTCTTAGAGACAGGATGCAAAAAGAGCATATATTTGAAAAGGTTGGAGTAGCTCTAGTGGAAGATAAGATTAGATAGAGTCGCCTTAGATGTTTTTGTCTCATAAAACAACGGCTTTTCGATGACCCGATCATGAGAGTAGATGTGTATTAGATTTAACTTATGTTAAGAAAGATGGAGGTAAACATAAAAAGACTTGGTTAGAAAATATTAGAAATGATCTTTCTTTATTAGATTTAAATGAGAATTTAACTCTTAACATGACATGATGAAGATAAATGATTCATGTAGCCGACCCCACGTAGTGGGATAAAGGCTTGATGTTGTTGTTGTTGTTATTGTGTGTCTTGCTTGTAGTGCAGCCTTTAATCATTTATTGTTCTTTTTTATTGACTATGCTAGTATTTTATATTTGATTTTTTCCATTTTAATAGCGGTTGTTTGTTTTTCCTGATTGCAATGCCGTTTAGCTATTCTTTTATTAGGCTAGATCACCTCAATCTCTGTTCATTTAATTTTGAGGTTGTTGTCCTTCTCCTTATCATCTTATTGCCTTCTTCTAGTGCCTTGGTTCCAATCATCTAATTTTGTAGTGTTCTTCTTGTTGTTAATCCTTTGATCTTCTATACTTCATTTTGCTGATCCTTCAATTATTATTATACATGTTGATTCCTTGATAATATATACTTCTATTGCTGATCCTTGGAGTAGAGATTTTCTTCTTCTGCTACTTGTGTGATTTATTAACCTTTGCTCACTATTCTGTGATTTATATATTTTTCTGTCTATTTAACTTTTGGTTGATTTTGTAGCGGGTTGGGTGTTGGAATGGTTGGTCTTAATACTTATCTTTCCCTATTTTTGTTGTTGGGTTAAGCTTAAAGATATATGCAAATACACAAAGACCCTCATAGTTCATAGTATAGGATTAGTCTAAGATGTTTCTTCTTTATTCGGCCCAATCTTTCTTTTTTTTTTTTAGGAAAAGATTCTATCATAAATTGAAATTCTATTTATTCATAATTAGAATAATAATTATGAATTCTTTTTCTTCTTCTTTTTTTTTTATCTTTCTTTTTTTATATTCATATTCTCTATAATATTCATTATTCTTCATACTCATTTTTCTAATTAATAAAAAAGATTAAGAAGGTGATCAATTCCATTAGAAATAGAAATTTTCATGTGAATCCACCATGCGCGGGTTCAATTCCCGTCGTTCGCTCATCACATTCTTTCCAATTTTTGGAATTGTCAATATAGAATATCTAATTAGAATCAAATGTATGACTAGATCCGAAGAGTCTTAGTTTAGCGCCACGTCTTTGTTCAACATCAACATGAAATTTTCTTTCATGTGTGGCTTGTGTTCGGCACCGCAGTGGACTTCTTATCATAGAAGAAATATGAAGTTGGGAAGAAGATATGATCTCCATACCATAGGTTCATTGGGATTTCATTAGAAGGGATCGAGCCTTTCTCATAATCAGAGGCGTCCCATATTTTTCATTTGTTTGTCTGTTTATTTATTTTTGTGTAATTTTGGAGGAGTTGTGATGGTGGAGTTGTTGATCTTTCTTAGGTTGACTTCCCATGTTTTATTTATTTTGGTGATGAAAGAGACGTGCTTGGTTTATCTTCACTTAGTTATCTATAATGTCCTAGTTCCTTGTACATTTAAAAAAAATATGGAAGTTATTGAGAAGATTGATAATTGAGAAATAAATCAAACCTTTTGAGACAAAGTGTCAGTGAAAATAAAAAATTTTCCGTATTAGGAATTTATGACACTTGAGTCTGGATGTACTATGCATAGTTTTATTCGATCACTCATATCCAACATCCATTTTGAGCATTTGGGAGAGATGAAAAAATGATTCCTGAATGTTAGTTCTTACTTATTTTTGGTTAAGCTAACTGGAGATGAAATAATTGGTCTGTTTTTCTCCGTCAGGACCATGGACACATAATATGAGGAGAGCTAGTTTCTTAATTTTGGAGAAGTTGGTACTTGGTAGTAAAATGTTTCGTAGTCACCTCTCAAATGAGAGTTTTTTTTAAACCAAAGGCTGGTTTTTTCATGAAAAGAATTAAAAAAAATAATGTTTGTGGATATTACATCTACATATTAAAGATTTAAAAATGATCTCTGTTATTTTTTCCTCTATGATGGGATAGCGCCTTAGATTTTTTCTAAAATTTGAGATGGGAAGGAAAAAAAATATTTATTTGAATACCATCTAACCAATCTAAGGGAAGTTATGTTTCTGAAAATTGGAAACCATTGTGACTTTGTGAGTCATTTAAGAGCATTACTCTTCCAAATTAAAGAGGAGGAAAATATTAGTTAGGTTGTTATTTTTTGCTTTTTTTACTTGATATCTGAGTCAAATCTCTCTATCACTAGAGGCGTTAAAGTAAATTAAAGAGGAGGAAAATGATAGTTGGTTTGTTAGTTTTTGCTTTTTCTTACTTGAAATCTAAAATTTATAACTTTGCATATAATATGCTCCTTGTATTAAATATTTATGCTGTTATAGATAATGTTTTTACATTGACGATATGTAGTTTACCAGCATGTCTTGAATAATTTTCTGACAAACTACTTTGTTATTTAATGAAGATGTTAAGTGATATCAGCAGGAGGATATATCTACTGAGTATACGATTTTTCTCAGTTTGCCTTCTAATATTTTTCCCTATCTATAGCTTTTTTTGCTCAAGCATTTTATCTTATGCCTTTGGCAGTGCTTTCCTATGTTTTTTTGCAGCATCCCATTAACTTTTGTTTGGGGCTTTAGTTGGTTTTGATCACCTTTTTTTTTTCTTATGCTTTTTAAATTCACCGTTTTGTTACATTCTGCTATTAGCCCTTGTTATCTGAAGAATAAGCTGGAGTAAATGTGTATCTGCTTCTTTTGGTCTAGCACAATCTAAACTGAATTTGCAGTTTTGTGATATTGTAATGAACTGGAAAACAGGCAAAAAGTCTTCTATTTTACATCAAATGCTTTTATGTGGACATGAAGTTTTCCCTTTCTTCCTAAATATATAAGACATTTTCATAGTTAATGAGGTACATTCATGAAACATTTTTGTTGTTTTTTCCTTAAGTAATATGGAAAGATCTGAATGGGCATAATCTATTATTAATGTTTGACTTGTGGCACATCAACTTTACCAACATTACAGTATGATGGTTTTTTCATTGGCTGGGGGTTCTTTTTTTATCGTTAGTGACATCTTTATGGACAATTCTGCCATATCTCAATTTCCTTAATAGAAAGGTAAATTATTAAGCTGTTTCAGTCGTTTTGTTCTTGATCTGAATTAGTTGGGCAGTGTTTTAAGGGATTGATGATTCTCGACTGCAATGATCTCAAGTTATAAAAGAATTTTTTATTTGGCATACCACTAGAAGTAATGCATCCCAATTATTTAAAAGCACTGGTTTCTAACAC